GTCTGCCCGCAAGTCAGCATTAAAGACCGCTGCAGCTATAGCGGAGCTAGGTCTTGAGGTCTAAGACCATGCACCATACTCTTCTGATTATGCAATATCTAATTTTTACTTTTATATGGAGAATGGAATGCTAATCAGCGAGGTAAGACCTTTGAAGATGAGAATGGCCTTCTCCAAGTTGTCCAATCGACCCTGCGTGACATGTCATCAAATGGGTTCACTCATGTGTTTGAGTCATGGATACTGAATGCTTCTCTTGGACTGACCAAAGAGGACCCTACTTTTCAAAGTAGAGGATACATAGGAATATCAAATGATGTATTTAGCAAATGCAATTCCCACCAGTTGTTGGATTCTAACTTTGATATGGGATGTGCAAAATGCTTGAAGTCTCTGTAACTTTCTGCGTGGAATGTTGCCCCGGGTATTGTGATGTCATGTTACCATAGCAACTATAACTCTACCCCAGTTCCATATTTTTTGTCGAAACTTTAAAGTTTTAGTAACAATACATGAAAGTACATTATGTCAAATTTTGAAGACGATTGGTGCATATTCAACAAAATGCCAGCACCAGTCCTGTTACTTTTGGAACACCCTGTATATTGTTTACAATGAGATTAAGTCTTTTTATAAAGGTTTGTACTCATAATAAGATATTATTGCTTGAATTGGTTTAGCACATGACGTTTATATCATTTAGAACAAAAATTCTGTTATCTTAAAAATGAAAACAATTCAAATTGTAATTTTACTCATACAACAATGGAAATTATGTAATAATTACATAATTCTAAGTCCAAAGTATTTTTGATAATTATCAAAATTTATTTTAAAGTATATACACAATTAATATTTGTTTAGCTCATGATTTCTTTTCATTATTTCCTTTAAAAATGCTTTACAAAAAATGCTATGTCATAATAATAGATTACATAACATTATGTCATATTTATCGAATCTGACCCATATTTCAATCTGTCAAAATTGGTTTTTGTAATGTACTCAGCAAGACGAACAATTTGATACCCATGACGACTTGTTATACTGGGTGCGGGGGTCAAGTTGATATTTGGCTCACAGGTAGCCTGCACTAATAGAGATAACCAAGTGGATGCTTATAGTGTTCATCTTATGCCGTCAGAAGGTATTTTGACCCAGTTTTGAAATATCAGTGTTCAAAAAGTAGACCAAAGGAGAGTTCTCCAAATTCAATGTTTGAAGTTTCAAAATCATAAGAAATTGTCAAATCTGCAATCAAAATTGAAATCAGACTCATGGTTTAGATTCTGTGGCTTTTAAAAGATATGATGACATCCCCATGTTAAATCAATGCCAATAATTGAAAGACATCAGACATCAGACTCAATAAAAATAAAATCCATGAAAGCTTACAACCTGAGAATTGTCTTTATGTCTATCTCCTGGATGACACAGCTTAAGAATCCTCAAATTTGGAGTCTTAAATTGAACGTGTCCAATTTTGCAATTTATTTTTATTTTTATGGCTCGGGCTCAAGATTGTATAGGAAACACGTGGATCCCTTTATATGATAATTATTTCTTAAAACGTTCTTCCCAACGTGCTGGCACTAAAAATAAGCAGAATATATACAAATATCCTTTACAATACACAATATCATTACATTTGTATTGACTATGGATTAGGCTTAACCTTTCCTTTATCACTATCTCCGTCACTCAAAGGCAGAAGATGGCCTTAATGGATTAATCAGTTTTTTCATGAATGTTTCAGTTAGTTTTTATGTACTTATTAGCTACGGGTATTAATCAAAATGACAATAGAGAGATTTCGCACAAAAGTGAAAGTACAACTTATACGTATACTTTAAAGGGTCTTGTCGAACTATCATATTTACTAAAATCAATTTCAATTGAGCCCAATGGAGAATAAATATTCCCGATATAGTGATGCTCCATCAACAAGAGACTGTGAATCCAAAGTCATCTGCAAGTGTTAATTATGCACATTATAATTAAAAGCTTACTCACGTTTACGAGTAGTGTATAGTCAAAACAGTAATGTTTGTGACTACTTTGAATTTAAAAAATAAGCAATCAAATGACCATATTGAAACGGTTTATGTAAAAATAGAAACATTTATATTGATCCTAACTTTTGTTTATTTCAGATAGTAATGTATAATGTGCAGCAAAGCTGTGGCCTTATGTAATTTAGGGAGTTTCAACCATGTTAATTTTTCCGAAAATAATATGGCAGAGAAGTATCAAAATATAAGAGGACACAGATATGATAGCTAAACTACAAAACAAACTAAAATATACAAAAGTTAGGATAAATATAAATTTTTCTATTTTTACATAAACCGTTTCAATATGGTCATTTGATTGCTTATTTTTTAAATTCAAAGTAGTCACAAACATTACTGTTTTGACTTTATTACATGTATAAACAGGATCCTTCAACGTGACTGATTAGTATAAGCTTAGGGCTAAGTTTTCCCTCTAGGTATCAGAAAAAAACAATAAGCCACTGCGGTACAAATTACATGGTCACACATTTCAAACAAAACAGTTCATCCAAGCACACACAAATTACACAGCTAATTACGATGTGTCAAACTTCCCAGCTAACCACGTGTACCAACCGCGTCGTCTCGTTGCTAGTGCACCACATGAGTTTCATTGCAAAATATAACCTTGATGCCTTTCAAAAGAATCATGTGAGTGTAAGTGCTTGGATGAGCTACTTTTGTTGCATGAGCGTGTAATTTGCTCTGCAGGGCTTATTGTTCTTTTTAGTGATACCCGGGGATACAAATCATTGACAAATTACGCAATTCACACCGCAACTCCAATACAAAGTTTAAAGTACTTCATAGTCATTTGAATATAATTTGGTGTAACATAAGAATATTCCTTTTTACGACATGTTTTAGAAAAATATGATTTTCGAAAAAGGTTGTCTTATATATAATATTCAATATTTTAATTTCCCGCCATTTCCATAAGAGTCGATTTCTAACTTGATCACCAAGAGACTAGTGGCAGAAAAACATCATCGATAATGATAACAATATATTATAGCCCAAAGGAAACAGATCATTAATTCATCGGTAAAGTGACCAGTAGGACTAACACACTTGAGTGACAACTCTAGATTCGCTCCCGTTGTTTCGGAATCCATCAATCGTATCTAATACCTACACGTACTTATCTATTAGAATAACATCGATCCCACTAGTGAAACACTATATTTTTGACGGGATAGTCTGTAGAAGAGTGGTAAAGCAGTATTCTATAGAAGATAACAAAAACTTAACTATGGTGTACTTATTTCAAGATATGTCCCCGATCTATCATAAATTGTAAGGGGAAATATAATGAGTTTCAGTAAAATAATGACCACATGTTGAAAGCAACAGGACTCCCGACAATCAGAAACAGCATGGTTGGATGATAAATATATAATTATCCCTTCCTATCGAACTGGAGGAGATGCATCACCTTAGACAGCATATAATTACAAATCCTGTTTTGAAAGAGAATCTCCACAGCACCAGATAACAAATAAAAGGCTACCGTTTCAACTTAGTACTAAAGGAGATAAGTGGAATTATCGGATTATCAATAACATATGCTCCATAAGAAAACAGTCTTGCTCATTATTATTTATCTTCAAAACCCGAACTGTTTGTTTTCTTCCATTTGTATAATATATCATACAAGGCTTTATTTATCCAACTAATCCCTTGGTCACATTTGCTCCGATTTTCACGACGGCGCCCGGCCGATCGAGTATTTTGTTCAAAATCGAAAACAATGTTGAACAAAACACTCAATCGGCCGGGCGCCAGCCGATGGATCGGAGCAAAATATGACCCAGGCATGATGGCCAGGTATTGCCGGGGTCACACTTGCTCCGATCCATCGGCCGACGTTGCCGATTGAATGTTTTGCTCAACATTGTATTCAATTTTGAACAAAATACTCAATCGGCCGGGCGCCGTAATGAAAATCGGAGCAAATGTGACCAAGGAATATAGGGAGCGTTTTTGAACTGCCTGCGGGCGAGTGAATTGCATAATATATGATGATTTATTCCCCCTAGGTATTACGAAAATAACAATGAGCCCATGCGTTGCAAATTACATGCTCACACGTTTTCAACAAAAGCTCAAAATTGAATACATACATGAACAAAATACTCAATCGGCCGAGAGCCGTAGTGAAAATCGTAGCAAATGTGACCAAGGCATTAGTGCACTCGGATGAGTTTTTTGTTGTTGAAAACATGCGACCGTGTAATTTGCGCTACGGGGCTTTTTGTTCTTTTTCTTGATTCCTGGGGAGAAATCTCATTATCGTTTATGCCTTGGTCACATTTGCCCCAATTTTCACTTCGGCGCCCCGCCGATTTAGTATTTTGTTCAAAATTGAATACAATATTGAACAAAACACTAAATCGGCCGGGCGCCGGTTGATGGATCGGAGCAAATATGACCCAGGCATTACGCAATGCACCATGTATCGCCGTCGGCAATTCAATAACGCATTAATATTGTAATTGTTTTAATTGTATTACAGGTGAGATATAGTTGTCACAATTGTGGTTTGACCGTGACCGTTATTTTAACGGTGTTACATTATTTTCCAACTCGCAACAATTAGAAGCTCCGGCCCCGTGTTATCTCTACCACTTTTTTAAGAACTACTTCACAGGAATACATGTTATACGTATAGGGTGTCAAATAAATATGTCCCCTTAGCTTTACATTCACATAATTTTACATAACTTTTTTTGTCTGCAAAGTATCTTAATTGTTCTTTAACACATTAAAACTAGGCTTCATTGAGGAACTCCACAAGAGGTTTCAGATGACTAGCTTAACTAGACTTTTATGCACACAAGTTTATGCTTTTGAATTTAAGGGGAGAACAAATTTATTGTACACCCTGTAAAAATGGTTTAGCATCGTGTTGTAAAACAGAACCTGGGGATGAAATTGAAATCTCACCTGTGAAAGTACTGTTAAGTAATGATATCATCTGTGAAGTCAGTTCGGATGGTTGTGACGTTTTTTCTGTTGTTGTCGTTATAAGATGAGATGTAGTTTGAGATATTGATTGTGTTAGTGAATGTGTTGTTGCTTCTGTAGTTATTTTTGTCGTTGACTGTGTTGTCATTTGTGTTGTTGGTTGTATTGCTGTTTCTATTGTTGGTTGTGCTGTTGGTTGTGTTGTCGTTTGTGTTGTTGGTTGTGTCACTCTCTGTGATGTTGGTTGTGGCATCGGTTGTGTTGTTGGTTGTGTTGATAATTCTGTCGGTTGCATTGTTGTTTGTGTTGTTGATTGTGTAGTTATTTTTGTCGTTGGCTGTGTTGTTGATTGTGTTGTCGGTTGTGTTGTTGGTTGTGCTGTTGCTTGAGTCGTTGGCTGTTTAGTTGAATGTGTTGTTGTTTGAGCTGGTTCTGTAGTCATATATGTTGTAGTTCCTGAAAAATGTCGTTATATTAAAGAAAGTCAGTCAAACTTAACAGAATATAAAAGAATAACAAGTCCCATGAGCAACGAATAAAACATATTTGATCATGATCAATTCACAAATTAAATTAAATCACTAAATTACTCATAATTCAATGCAATAAATGAACATTTACTTGCAAACTACAACATATACATTCACTGAAAGGAGGGCCTTTCTTTCCCTATTTTATCATACCAAATGTTTATTCTGCAGTGTGCCGGTGTGAAAGAAATTATAGTCCCCTGGGGATTATGGTCCCCTTTCTAATCGGCCCTTACTGGCCCTGATTGCGTATAAGATAATGAGGGAAAGAGTTGTATTGAGGTCATATAAATCAATGGAGAGAAGGACCATAAATTGATAGGACCTCCTACCCTTTTACACCTGTGTGAAAGAAATTATGGTCCCCCAGGGATTATAGTCCCCCTTTTAAAGGCCCTTACTGGCCCTGATTGTGCGATTAATCATTTCAATAGGAATAGCGTTGATATTGTTACGCGGTTTATGGCAAACATTCATGGTTGCGCGGTATTTGTGATACTGGTGAATATGCCATACTCACCTGCGGTATATGGCATATTCCGCAAGTGAGTATGCGATATTCCGCAGTGAATATGCGATACATTGATTTCAGTGAATACCCGATACTCACCTGCGGAATATGTCATACTCACTTGCGGAATTTGCCATACACCGCAGGTGAATATGACATATACCGCAGGTGAAAACGTGATACAGAAAGCTTTGATTTGATTGGTTGCGAGAGTCGACTCTAAATGTAAAACTACGCTGGATTACAAATATAGTTAGTGCGTCGAGTACTAATATATGAATCCTGGATTGATTGAGTAAGTTTATTACGTGAGCTTGGTGACTGATACTTCTGCCAAGTTAATATATTCGATACACAGTACTGTTGATTCAGTAATCATTATCATAATTAATAAAATTTCACTTGTTCGTTCAATCGATGCAATTGACAATTGCGTACTTCCGTATCACGTTCTCATTGGTTAGTGTGTATGCCATATACCGCAGGTGAATCTGGCATACACTGCAAGTGAATATGCCATATTCGTTGCGGAATATGACATATTTTTGTATCGTGTTTACCGCGTAATAGATATGAGATGTGGTTAAATCAACATATTTCACGTTATTTTTCCATTTGGGAAAACTTGCGCTATTCATTTCGGGAATGCCGTTGATGAATTTAAAGTTCATACCATAATAGCTTTCCTTTACTGATTTACAATACATTATTGGCATATACGTACTTTGAGTTGTCACATGTTGTGTTGTAGTCTCACTCAATGGATAGAGAATACTGGCTGGGTCACACACTCCATCAGTACAGGGGGTATCTAGAAACAATATATAAATAGAATAATATATGATGTCTCCCAACAAACTAAGATAATCATCACATGGGTATCTAGAAACAGTACATACGTTTATTTACTGTGAGACACAATCATTTTAGGTCGCATTCACGAATTCAATTGGCGGCTGACGGATTAACCTACCATATCATGGCCAACTCATTTAAATATGAAGAGTACCTGCCACTATTTCATATATATCTAAATGAGTAAGCCATAAAAAGTAAGAAAAAAGATCAGCCGTCAGCCGATAGTTGAATTCACAAATGCTACATAAGTGAACGTAAAAGAAGAAATCTGATTATTTTATACTGGGCTTGATTATAAAAATCCAATGTCGATTCCTAATGCCGTGGTCACATTTTCTCAGATTTTTACTCAACTCCCGGCTGATTGAGTATTTTGTTCATCGGCCGGGCGCCGATGCTGAAAATTGGAGCAAATCATGAAATGTGACCACGGCATTACCATTGTACGATTGAGCACTTCTCATCATAAAATCAAATCATTGTGCACTCACAGACATCTCGAAGGCAAATAAATTAAATCATTGTGCACTCACTGACATCTCGAAGGCAAATAAATTAAATCATCGTGCACTCACTGACATCTCGAAGGCAAATAAATTAAATCATCGTGCACTCACTGACATCTCGAAGGCAAATAAATTAAATCATTGTGCACTCACTGACATCTCGAAGGCAAATAAATTTCATTGGCGTGTCACAGCTTGAGGACTGGACCCACTTTCCATCTGGTTGTATAAAGACACAGCCACCCCTTTGTCCATTTTTTTCTCCATTAGATTTCCATTCCTCAAAACTGACTGGTGTCCCATCAACCCATATCCAATTTTTGTGTGAAACCATCTCAAGGCCGATCCACATACTACTTTCACCCCCTCTGAAATTTCAATAAATCAATTTTTATGCGTCACATACTCAGCCGTGCTTGAACTACTAGATATAGTTTTTATCCCATCGAACGAAGTTCGGAGGGATATAGGGAACGCCTCCGTTCGTCCGTACGTCCGTACGTACGTACGTCCGTCCGGGCAATAACTCAAATACCGTTGGCCCGATTTTGTTCATATTTTGTACACATATACTCTATGGGGGTAGCAGTTCTGCTCGAAAGCCGATTTTCAAAATGGCCGCTCATTTCAAAATGGCGGCCATTTTAGTGACGATTTTACAGTAATTTAGGTGCAATATGTAAAACTGCAATAGCAATATGTTTTAAATGTAAAAAAATTATAAAGGACATTAATAATGCTACAAATGTAGATATTAAAGAAGCACATGGCAGCCATCTTGAAAAATGGCGGCCTTTACTCGTCATTTTACGATTTTTGCTATAACTCAAAAAATAGTGGAGCGATTTTGTTCATATTTGGTATGTGAATACTATAAGCATTGCACACTGTCTAAAGACACTTTTGGTAGAAGGCGGCATTTTAATGTATTTTACAATAACACGAAAAGGCCACCATTTTTATGTGTGTTATTTTACAAGTACGTGTGCGATTTTTCAAAAATTTTAGAGGTGGCTACTTAAAAGCATATTATTTCTTCTGATGACAACTAGGCTAGTGAGCAACCATTTTGCAAATGGTGGCCTTTCTGGCGTGTTGTTTTATGATATTTGTGCTTCGTTTGTAAAAATGCCAGCCATTTCTGTTCGATGGGATTCGCTACGCTTTGGCGTTGCCGTTGTTCTGGTTTAAAACAGGTTTGTTAAATATATAACTTTACGTCCTCCCAGAGCCATGGCGAAATTTTGGAGAAATTAAATGTTGGATAAACATAATGTTAAGTAAAAACTCGAAAATGGCGAAAAAACCTAGTCTATAATATTAACAAATACAAAACTATTGTTACAAAATAAATTATCAGGATTAACATTGGAATGATTTTCCACGATACTGCTCCCTAATTCTATTTTGTTATTGCAGAGGTATTTTTGTAAAATAATGTCTTAATACCTTGGTATTTCATCTTATTCAGCATCTTATAAGTGATGCCCTATTTGAACTTCACTTTAAAGATATTTCGATGAATACAGGGTGTCCCGAGTGTATGCCCCCCCCCCAGGCAGACATATACCAATGTCCCCATATTATGTGTCATATATCATTTTAAAGCTTAACTAAAGTTACATTGATCTGCCAAGTATCATAGTTCAACTCGCAAATGGTAAAAAGTAAACAGGCATTTCAAAAGTTAGTGTATGGGTGGGATGTCCGGTATGGGGGTGCACCCCCCCCCCATAACCCATAAGAATAAAACCATGCGATGGTTTATTCCCATTTCGCCCCTTGCCATTTCGCCCCTTTCCATTTTGCCCCTCATTTATTCCCATTTCGCCCCTTCCCAATTGGCCCCTTTCCCATTTGGCCCCTTTCCCATTTTGCCCCTTTGCCATTTCACCCCTTTTCCGTGTTGCCCCCTTCCCATATCGCATCTTTCCCTTATCGCTCCTTCCCATTTCGCCCCTTCTCATGTCGCCCCTTCCCATTTCACCCCTTTCCCATTTCGCCCCTTCCCATCTCCCCCCTTCCCATTTCGCCCCTCATTTATTCCCAATTCGCCCCTTCCCAACTGGCCCCTTCCCATCTCGCCCCTTTTCCATTTTGGTAGGGGCGAAATGGGAAGGGGCGAAATGGAAAGTGGCGAAATGGGAATGAACGAGGGGCGAAATGGGAAAGGGGCCAATCGGGAAGGGCGAAATGGAAATTAATGAGGGGCGAAATGGGAAGGGGCCAATTGGGAAGGGGCGAAATGGGAAGGGGCGAAGGGGGAATGAGGGGCGAAATAGGAAGGGGGCATAATGGGACGGGGACGAAATGAAAGAGGGGCGAAATGGGAAAGGGGCAAAATGGGAAGAGGCAAAATGGGTAGGGGCGAAATGGGAAGGGGCCAAATGGGAATAAATGAGGGGCCAAATGGGAAGGGGCAAAGTGGGAAGGGGCGAAATGGGAAGACACCTATACACAATCAAGGCCAGTAAGGGCCGTTAAGAAGGGGGACCATAATCCCCGGGGAACCATAATTTCTTTCACACCAGTTTCCTTTGTCTTCATCGAAGTCCGACTCTGTGTGTAATTCGAAGTTTTAAGTGTCTTAATTGACTACGTACGTCATGGATTACGATGGGCAGTAAAATGTATTGAACCGATCAACAAGGAAGTGAAAAGTTCTTCCAATTAGAGTACATCATATTTATATGGCTATTAATCCATAGAAGACACTTTAGTTATTGCCTTTGTATGGTTTTCATACACAAATAGAAGAATAACACACTGACACAAAGAAATCGAATAATTTGTACTTTAAAGCTGCAACTAGGGCAAAGAACATTATGGACTATCGGTACATTTCCTGTGTTGTTAAATCATAAGATCAACATCTATTATATTTACAACTCTTTCAACCCACTCCCTTTCATTTTACAAGAAGGTCTAGCATGCGATACACTTTTGAATAGTCAACCTTATTAGCAATAAAATGACATGAAACAAACAGCTCAATAAAAGAGAGATTTTGCAAAGCACACGTGTAAATCCCATGTGTTTATAACTTATAAGGTATGTGTATTACGTCAGCATTTGTTGCGCAGTTCTATCAATTCATAATGAAGAATCGCTTATAAAACGTCGTTTATAAGTGAGTACAGTGTGTCTCTGAATGAAAAAAATGTTTCAATTTACAGGTTTGTAATTGAAAAATGGTCCACTAATGGAAGTGTTCCAGAGATTTCCCCTTTTCATGTTTACTGTTATTTTAAAACATATATCAATACGATGACATAAATTATTCATTCTCAAACATTGGTGAGAGCTTTATACTTTAGTTGAAATAATGGATAAACACCATTCTGAGATCAAATTCCCTCGTCAGTAGACAAATCAAGAATTTGATTACTATAAATAGAAGCTTTTAATCCGTTAGTACATATTCATTAATGTTATGTAAGATGTAACCACGTTTTACATTTAGTTATATATCAAGATGATGCTATGTATTATTCATTGTAAGATAAACACTGCTAAGTGCTTGCGTAAGTTGAATTAAATGATAACCATTTTTGGGATCGAATTCTCCATCAGAAGACATAGTTAGAATTTGTTTATTATAAATAGCTAATAGAAGCGATTAATGTGTTAGTCAATTTTCATTAACGTTACCTAAGAGATGCATAGCAAATCAAACATATTATTATTTCATTGGATTATTTATCCAGTTATAATCTGGCATGTGAAAGAAGTTTTAATAATTATATAATAATTTATAATTGATTGATTTTCAATATAATGAATAATTCTCCATTTTAGTAATATATAGTATAACTCACATCTATATGTCACAAAGATTGAGCACAATATTAAAGGCCCCATATAAAGAACAACTTTGTAGTCCTAGGCAATATTATCAAAATGTGCTGTGTGAAACTTTTCAATTTAATTTCAAAAAGTTGATTTTTTCTTTCAAAAATGTGGATTTATTTAAAATGTATTAACACCAATACATAACACATATCCTAACCTATTTTCTGCTGAAAAAAAATATAAAAAATGGTTGGAAAATAAGCAAGAATACACGCAGAAATGTGTAATTCTCCTTGAACACAATGGTACGAAACTAAAACTTCATAAAAACCTATTTTCAACCTAGATAGGCCAAAACATTTTTTTAAAGTCCAGCATATTTAGGAAATATCTATGAGAAAATAAATTGACGATTAAAAAATACACTTTGCCACCTAAGTGACGTCACAGTGTATCATCGTGACATCACACATTTTTTTATAAACGTTTATACAATCATTAAATCATAGACTGAATGGTTGAAAGAGTAGGCCTATTATATTATCTATTCAAAGCAAAATATAAAAATAATTTATTTTATAGTTTTAAATTTTTTTATTTGATGATCTAAAAATCTAGACTTTTGTTTATAGAATGGTGGGAAATTCAGTTATAGGAAAATTATAAGATGAACAATTTTTTCCAGTCATTTTAATGATGAAAAGAAATATATGAATGATTAAAATTAATTTCAAGCTTTACACAGGGTCTTTAACGAAAAAAATATGAACATGGCCAGATTCTTTTTTCTGATCAATATAACATTGTCCGAGGGGGAAGCAGATTTAAGGCACTTAAAGTTTTGGGTTGATTATTCGAGCCCCATAACCGCCACTGCATGTATAAGTACCAATGTAACCATTGTATATTATGTAAAAATTGTATAAATGTTGTTTCAATGTTAATAAATTAATTAAAAAAAAAAAAAAAACCGCCACTGCCTATATTAATGTTTTTTAAATAAAAGTTGACATTTTCGAATATTCCATTATACAATCGAAACACATTATCTTTTTAACACCTTCTGTCAAGATTGAACAAAATATATCTATTTCAATAGTAAAATGTCATTTTCAATGTGCCTCTTAAATGTTTTAACATATTAAAAAATGTTGCACCCTAAGTGACATCATTGTGATGTCATTTATGGTGCAAACATTTTGAAAAAAAAATCCCAATAATTTTATCAATGTCAGCTTTTTCTTTAATATGTTAAACTTTTAAAATAACCCAATGTTGTTTGTGTTAATAGGTTGCAAACAAGAATATATGATGTTTTAAATATTGCTTTACCATTGATTTCAATTGTATTGAATGAGAATTTTAAAATGTATTTTTCTCTGAACCACTTCCATGCATTGATAGGTTCATTTATGCGACAAAAGTTACACGAGGATTACTGCCATGTATTGGAGAGAAATAATACTTATTAAAAGATTTACGTGAGCTCTAAAATTAAGTTTTAAATAAATGCGCGATTTTTCGAACAAAAGTCATTCAAAACATTTTTTTGAAAATTAAAAAAAATACATATAGCATTTTTTGATTATTAGGCAAGACTACAATATCAGCCAAATATGGTTAAACTTAATATGGGACCTTTAAAGTGAAATCAATTTGATTTTAGGTTTAAAGTTTTTTATTATCATTTAAACAAAACAAATTACAAACACAGCAAGGGCCGAAGCAATGCATTATTGGCCCTGGTAGTCAAGAATTTATATAATGTAAAGTGAAGTTGCAATGAGATTTATGGATCAACTCGGTTATGCAGAACAGTATATAAAAATAAAAACTTACTCATTTAAAATAGTAACAATTAACTGCAGAAAACCTGCAGTCATTTCAACAATTTTCTGATTTGTCAGATACGATAATGAGCAATCACCGTATAACAAATAATTTACCCTGTCTTGCTGTCTGAGTTGACCAAACACGGTTAAATCAAAGGATGGCAGTTCCCCAAGTTCTTCCAAAAACAAGTTTCGCTGAACAATGAATAGAGGGCAGTGTAATAATAGGTGCATTGTAGACTGTGATCTAAAGCCACAATTACAACTTGGAATATCAATGTTTCTAAAATTATGTGTGAATAAATGCTGCCTAAAAATAAAGTCACATCGAGTCTTATTCAAAGTTGATTCTGTCTTCCTATCAAGATGCAATTTTGGAGTAGGTAGCTTTATTTTAGAATTTTGAATATGTTTCCTCAGGTTAAACTTAAAACAATTTCTAGATTGGATAGCTTTCAAATCACCAGGCAGTTTCTCCCATGCTGTTATACAAGATATCACTGTACCCTTTCTGATCTTGGCCTTACAGTGAGCTGGTATTCTGAAAGATCTGACTCTGCGTAACCGATTTCCATTATTCATTACATTATGATTTCTATATAAAGAAAAGGCCTGGTTTACATAGGAAGGCATTTTGTTGTTATTTATGACGTCATAAGTAAACAATAGTTTCTTTTCATCCCTCCTGGCCCCTAGGGACCTCCAACCTAAGCATGAGGTGACTTTGGTTGCATTTGTACCTTGGGTACATGCACTGACAATCAATGCTGCCCTATACTGAATACTATCCAATTTAGGAAGTAAATTTAAGTTTGCACAATCAAAAATGATATTCCCATATTCTAAGTGAGGTAGTATAAATGCCATATAAATCTTCTCTAGATGTTGTGATCTTAAGTTATGTTTTAGTGCCATAAGTGGGTTCAACATCCTGTTACATTTAACAATTATACTGTTAATGTGTTCTTCAAAGTTTAAAGCCTTGTCTAAAATAAGTCCAAGATGTTTGTGACTATTGGTGAAAGGGATAGAGTCACCATTTAACACAATAGGAATTTGAGCCATTGGAGTTCTAGTTTTGGACTGGAAAAACACTTCCTTACTTTTACTTGTCTTAAATTTTAATTTCCAAGTCTTTGACCAGATCTCTATTCTATTAACATCGCTTTGGAGTTTTAGATAAGTTTCATGAACTGAGTCCTCCTTTTTGACAGGAAGAAAAATTGAGCTATCATCGGCATAAAGGTACAAAGTGCTATTTAAAACTGCATCGGCTAGGTCATTGATATAAAGTAAGAAAAACAGAAGACCTAATTTTGACCCTTGAGGAACCCCACAATTTATTACTCCTTTGTCAAACCCCCCTAAATCCATTCCTCCTGTACCTAGAATCCCTTCCATTGTCCCATCAATATTGTCATATAAAGTATCTGAATTTATTGAAGTTGTACCATTCACCCTAACTTTTAATTTTCTGTTATTAAGGTAGGACCCTATCAGATTAATAATGTTCTCACAGATACCGTATGATTTTAGCTTATGGAGAAGTAAGTAGTGGGGGACGCCGTCAAACGCACCCTCAATATCAAGAAAGATCCCTCTAGTAGAAATATTATGGTCAAAATTTGAAGTAATCATATTTACAATAGATACAAGTTGTTTCTGAGTGTCATGCCCAGGTAAAAACCCAGAATCAATTTGATTACTTACAGTGTTGATGCCTGACTATTTTCAGCCGCATTTTCAATGACCATTAAAGTGGATCCTGTGCCGCTACAGGCTGTTTGTGCTTCAGAATGTGTTACTAACACAGTTGAACTGTAGTAGCAGTTATCTCCATCCGATATCCACACAGATGGGCAGGCAAGAAGTGAACCTGGAAAGTGTACGCAAAACATAACAATACAAGCACAGGCTTCCTAGACTTCTAACAACGCGAACATCAGTTCTTAGCTCGCGAACTACGTTCCCTTCGCGAACACGAATCTCTGTTCGCGAGTTGAGAAATATGTTCGGGAGCGTGGAAATGGTGGTGCGCGACTATGGTCAGTAAATCATATTTTTCACATTGTTCGTGACCAACTTGAATAGAAATGATAATTTGTAGATTTTTTGATGTTCCCATGTGATACGACGTCAGATACTGTACATCACGGCGTAACAGTGTAATTGTTCATTTTACCGACAAAATGCAAAGATTTACGCGATAAATATGCGCAATGCTCCTCCAAGTAATTGCAAACGTTTTAATATTCGTGGAATCTTCTTAAAAACTTCAAGTTTTGTTCAGATTAATGTGCGCTTCAATACAATTCTATATTCAAAAAGGTTGTGTCACGATATACAGAATTAGAATCACCAGAAAGTAGACATTTCAAACCCTACCCGTTTTCTTCTTTGTCGCGCTTTTCGGCCCTGCGCTCTCGTTGTCGCACCGTCTTTCTAAACTCTTTCACAATGCCCCTTGTCATATTCAACTGATAAACACAGACGGGAAGATATTAAGCATTGTTAAATGCATTTTTTGTAATTTATTTTAACTCGAATATTTAGTTTTATTTATTTAAAGCAATGAATAATAAAGGAGAACATATAATACGCTAACGGCGTAACGTCTTATTTTGTTAAGGCTTCACTTGGGGTTGCGGTGATAAAACGATGTCTATTTCAATATATAATGGTTCAAATTAAATATTTGAACTCAAAAAATGAAACGTAATTTTGTGAATTTTTCACATGGCTTCACTTCATAATTCTTTCAATTTATACTCCTTACAGACTGAATTTTAATCGAAATGATATAGTTTTTTGATAAAAAATATAGAATATGATATGCCTTTCAGGAATCAAAAAAGAATAATTCACCTTTCAAACGATTTAATGTTTAATTGATCAAAATATATATCCTGTTGGTACGAAATTCTGCCTGTCGACACTTTTTTGCATAAATATAAGCGTTAAGTTAGCATTTTTATATTATGACGTCATCACACAGAATCTGTTTGTCTTTTCCAAAATGGTGAATTTAAATATTGTGAAAATTTGAGAAAGATCCGTTGGGAAATGAAAAAGTTATCTTCATTTTTCGTTTAAAATTAAAATCACTTTTCTTCAAAATGTTACAGTCGACACCCGGTTTTAGCATAGAAAGTCGCATAATACGGCTTGCGTGATTCTCATTTAAAAAGTCCCAAATCAGTTATTTGGAATTCTGATAAGCAAAATATTTCATTGACATACGTGTTCAACTGATGACGAAAAATTGTAGAAAAACATGATTTTGCTGTCGAGATATTGCGGTTTTAAAAGTAAGTACGCATTAAAAATGCAGTAAAATGCCGCGATGTACAGTATACAATTGTTGACCTCTCCAGAGGTCAACCGGCAAAATTGTATACCGAGACTGTAAACCGAGAAACTACTGTTGACAGAGACCGAAGGTCGAGGTCAACAGTAGTTTCAAGGTTTACAGTCGAGGTATATGGTTTTGACGGTTGACCGAATGGAGAGGTCTACAATTGTTTTGTTAGTCAGAAAAAACTAATAATACACATATAGACGACAGTCATCAATCATATCTTCATTTCACAATCTTTTCTCCGAACCACGCCAGCAATAATTTTTTAAGAAAATCTTGAGACAGTGGTAGCTAAACTCTTTGTTTTTGGCACATAGCTGCATACTCACTTGTAAATTAATGCTAATTTTTCGTTTCTTTTTGTATTTTTGCTATACTTGTCGTCTAGCAAAGTCAAAATATAACTTTCATCAACGTTACGAAATGTCCGTCTACCATGTTTTTTCTGTAAACATTATGACGTCATATTTCCCATAATTCACAAGTGTAGTACAGTAACATAAGCGGTTGATAATATGATATCCCATGATGCACAGGTGAGGTACAGGCAAAAATGTTGACCGCTAATTGACCAATCAGATGCGAGTATTTACATTGAGGTACTAACAATATCTGACGTCGTATCATGTATAGTTACCTTGCACGCAGAGTCTAGTTATAAAAAGATGAGAAGCAAAGTCGAACGAGTGCAAGGGGTAAAATAGTAGAAGCACCCCTATATTTATCACTTACAAATTACTATGTGTTATCCTGTGGAAAGGATTAGGCATATATTCATTTTATTTATTTATTTTATTTATTTATTTATATATTATAAAAATATATACAAAACATGCAACATGTCACAATCCAAGACACCACAGTGGCATATACAAGACGTATCACGTGCTAAAAAAGTCTTCTAAATAGAAATCACCCATTTGGTGATTTATTTTGGAGACATTAGGAACCGTTGCGTACAGTATTAAATGTCTTATTAAATTTCGGATACTGTTTCGGAAGTCTTTTCTTTCTTGGAATTTGCTTAAGTGTGACATGTGACATGGCATGCAATTTGATAGGTATCTTAACAAATAAGCAACAATAACATAGTATTGGCATATTTTATTTCAACCAATTATTTTACATGACAGTATAAGGATTGTGTACTGGGAGGTTTTGGATACAGGGTTTATCCCAAGGAATGTGTATCTCCCGAGGGACCGCAGGGAGGTATGAGGTCTGTACCCTAAACCGACCGTACATAACAGATATATTCCATACCTACTGAGGTTCTAGGTGCATTATATTACATCATATCATATTATATCATATCATATATTATATCATAAATATTATATTATATTATGTTATATTATATTATAATATATTATATTGTATTCTATGATTAGTATTTAAAAATAGTTCAAATCAGTGGCAATGTCTTGTTTTCTCTGCTTTTCAATGTATTTTAGCTTTCCACTTACGTACTCATACTAACAAAAAACATCAACTTACTTATTACTATATTCAAAGACATCTTTTAGAAGATTTTCACATTTGGAGTATAACGAAATAATATAAACAACAGAAAGCAAAAAAATAAATAAAATAGTCCACCTTCGGGAATTATAATTTCAATCAATAGTTATTACCAAATAGCATTAATTTTAAGTGATGTAACGATCTTTAAAAGTAGTCAAATTGGCCAAAATAAAACTAGACATTATCTGAATTTAACTCACCTATTTCTAACAGAATCAAAGTAGGTAGTAACATTGGTACGTCACCAATTAAACATTGTGTATACATGATCCTTGTTGACATTTTGTTAAAAATTCTCCACACTTCATTTTATCCAATACATCAAATCCTAATGATGGTTCAGTTGTTAGAAAAATATAAATGTGTGTGATACCATTGGTCCGTTCATCAATTAATACTGCTTGGTTTGGGTTCGCTCTGTTACTAAGAATCCTTCTTACTCTGGGTAGCTGAATAATAAATCGTTAACTGATTAATTATTTTGACGGTTATAATTGACTGAAAAAGTCAATTCCGTGATTAAATTGCGCTCACACTTGCTTAATTTGTTTCATTAAGCTGTTACATTACGCTAAGCCGCCATGTAAATAGAAGCTGAATTGCAATCTATTGTTTTAATCCCCTGGCTGAAACAAAGTCAACATCATTTTAGAGATATCCCCATTAATGAACTTTATACCTTGACACGTTCTGATTGACTTAGCGTGGAGTTTATTACATTATTGCATTGTTTATATTGCATTTATCAGATCCATTTAAAGGCCCTATGTAAACTTGTTTATCGTATGATCTGTAAAATGAAGCCCTCTGATTGGTCGGTTCTTGTGCTGGACCAATCTGTATTGCTACTGAGATTGTCCCTGTTGATCATCTCCGTCGCAATACAGAAAATATTTTTACTGATGGGACAATCTCAGTAACAATACGGAGGATCACACGATAAAATCGTTATTGAATGATTTGAAGTGCAATACAGGATATATTCTGTCTCGATATTCTGTATTGGCACTCTACTTCGTCTCGTACCAATACAGAATTTCTCGAGCAGAATATATAAGGGTTATGTACTGGGAGGTTTTGGATATGGGGTTTATCCAGAGGGAGATATGCATATCTACCTGAGGGACCGTAGGGACCGAAGGTAGATGTGCATATCTCACGAGGGATGAACCAAATATCCAAACCGACCGTACATACACTCCCCTCCATAAGTTTGGCAACCTTTTTTCCCCATTGAACTACGTGTTAAAGCCTCTTTACGTTTGAATTTTTACTTAACCGGCGATGAAACAACTTATCATATTGATGAAAACGTAACTTGACTTTATTTCCAATACCTCTAAATTTTCTCAATTTTTTTCCTCAATTACAATAGGTCAAAAATTGATGATAAATTTGATGAATTCTTGAAAATCGTCATTCCCATGTAATCCAATGGGAAATGGAGGGTTCGGGGCAAATCAGAAATCAGGATATCTTTTTAGTAAAAGATTCAGCAAAAAAAAATTTTATATAGAAAACTGAATTGTCTAACTTTTATGAACACTAAGTGTTTAGTTTATTTGATGAATATTAAAGTTACAGCGCTTCAAAGTCATTTTAGAAAATAATTTTTCGCCTCCTGTGTTATTTCAATGGGAGAGGTTTTTTGAAAAACAATTTTGACTTTAAAGCCTTACAACTTTGTTGAACCTGAAGAAACATATCATTTTTTTGTTAAATAAAGTTAGCAAATTCAATTGCCTGCCTAACTCGTATTTTTTGCAAGGACTCGGATGGATGGATATTCTGTCATATGACTTGCGGCAAACCTACCATTTCCCATTGGTTAACATGGGAATGTCGATTTTCAAAATTCATCAAATTTATCATCGATTTTCGACTTAATGTAATTGAGGGAAAAAATTGATAAACTTTGGAGGTATTGAAATTAAAGTCAAATTACGTTTCCATTAATAGTATAAGTATTTTCATCGCAGGTTAAGTAAATAAAAATTCAAAGGTAAAGAGGCTTTAACACGTAGTTCAATGGGGGAAAAAAGGTTGCCAAACTTATGGAGGGGAGTGTAACTGCTTTATCCTATACCAAGTAGAGTTTTCTAATTTTCTTTCAATTTTTTTCATTTTTTTTTTATTTTTTCAATTTTTTCACATTTTTCTAATTTTTTGAAAAAAATCTATTTTTTTCTTTTTTCAATTTTTTCTTTTTTTCAAAATTTCACATTTTTAAAAAAAAATCTTATTTTTTCAAATTTTTTTTCCAAGCGGGAAGATATGCCCTGGAGCGGGAGATATGGCGGGAGATATGGAGGTTCAGGATATGGAAACCTCAAAATCAGGATACGGGATATATCTTACCAACTTATCTCCTTAAAACTCTACTTGGCATAGGATAAACATGTATATATATGTATTGCACTTCAAATCATTCAATAACTTATAATATTCTTGTCTAGTCATTTATTTATTATTTAAAAGTTGTTTTTGATATATTTCAAAAAATGTACATGTTAGACTCTGACTTTCACATATTTGAATTTCCCGCCATTTGAACAATATGAGCTCCGAATTTCATTCTGTCAAATTCTGATAAAAGTATGTTTCATTTTAACATAATTATTATTGTCGAACAACATTTCTTTTATATAACACTATTTCAGCGACTCAAATTAATTTACATGCAATACCTTTAATTTGATGGCATTTTTGTTTGATAAATTATCTATTCATCACTTAATCAGAGACATATAAAACGAGAATCAAGTACCATTATATGATTACTTGGTTTAATTTATTGCATCCCATCCAACTAATGTATTTATGTACAGCAAAGCCTAATAAAATGTATATTCCCATATAGCTTCACTTATCAATGCGTGGCAAGATCCAGCCAAGCAGAACGAAGTATTTCCGATTCGTTATACAAGGGGCGATCCATACAGTATGAGAGCATTTTTATCAGAATATATGGATCGCCCCTTGCATAATCAACCACAGACCCATTCCAATATATCTGTTATTTAGAAATTAGTTAAAATCGTAGTAGTATAATAAAGTAGCTAGTATAATATCATCATGTTCATAGGAAATAACTATCTAGTAAAACAGGTACTTATGCAGGTCAAATGTTACCCTTGCATAAAGTTGCATTGCACTGCAAAAATTATTCTTTTAAATGATATTTTATGAAATCGTTTGCAATTAGTGAAAAGAATTAAGCACATGACTCGATGAATTGTTGATGATTTAATCCGGGCCACTCATGCGCTGTCTCCTAGACTTTGCAATTGCATTCATGCTGCCGCGCTCGTTTAAAGTCTGGAAACAACACCTACATTGTGTTATCCTACATTTCATTGAGTTTTGGGCTAAAATCCTTCACATTTTTGTTGGGCGAGATCGAATCAATTGAATTATAATGGAACAACACCTGTATTTGCATTGGAAGAAACCCATCTAAAACGACAATTAATTGAACTTTTTCATTCCTGAACTGAAAAGTACACAAAACGAATAATTTTAGAGTAATTGTAAATACCTCCAGCCAAGCTCATGTATGGAAATTTTAATCACCTTAGGAATCAATTACATTGGATGTAAATGCAATCAAAGATCTGTAATTATTTGATGTGATTATGCTGTATTTGTTCATTAATTAACAAATATGTGTAGTTCTCTATTAATTAAATATGATATGGCACTTTAGGATTTACCGTGCATATAAATCACATATAAATCACCATATGATACCATAACGTAACAGTATCGATTACTTACGTAGCAGTATCGATTACTACGGAAAGCTATAGGGGACATGCGCATAATTCAAAATCGAATGGAGTTTTAACATGGGAGTGATATCACACACCGCGGCCCAGTCAGATAGATTTCATCGCGCACTGAATGAATTACAAGGGCCGCGTTGTGCAAAGTTGATTAAAATAAAGTGCGCAGAAATTCCGGCATTCAGTGCGCGATGAAAAAATGATTATCTGTGAATAAATAACGAATAAAAATTCGTGGCACCACGAATTTGATTTTTTTCGAAAGACTGCGGAGTGAACCAGCGAAATGACAATTTTGGATAATATTGATGGCTCTAACGAGGAGAACTTTGAAATTTCCCGATTCTACCGCGCAGCACATCCAGGACCATGATGCGCACTTTTATCAGATTCGATTCTAATATGGTTTCAAAGATAATGTTCATTAAAAGAGGGCGTAGCTTATGCATACAGATTACACATGGCGTTATGTTGAAGTGACCCTTGCAAAGGGTTCCATTGAAAATATATTATTTTGGGCCATTTCACATCTTTTAATTGATATTGTATAAAATATTTTCAATGTTTGAAAATTATAATCTTATAAATAACATTTTATGTAATAAAACTGTAACGAAATGGTAAATACGGAATATGATGCAATACAATGCAGTGCAATATGATGTTATACAATGCAGTGCAATATGATGCAATACAATGTGGTGCAATATGATGTAATACAATGCGGTGCAATATGATGCAATACAATGCAGAGCAATATGATGCAATACAATGCAGTGCAATATGATGCAATACAATGTAGTGTAATATGATGCAATACAAAGCAGTGTTATATGATGCAAAAAATGCAGTGCAATATGATACAATACAATGTAGTGTAATATAATACAATAAAATGCAGTGCAATACGATGCAATACAATACAGTGCAATATAATGCAATACAATGCAGTGCAATGCAATACAGTGCAAAACAATGCCGTGCAGTGCAATACAATGTAGTTCATTTCAATACAATGCAGTGCAATACAATGTGGTACAGTGCAATACAATGCAGTGCAATACATCACAGTTCAATACAGTGCAATACAATGTAGTGCAATGCAGTGCAATAAAATACAATACAGTGCAATTCAATACAATGCAATACAACACAGTGCAATACAATACAATGTTGTGCAATACAATACATTACACTGCAATAAAATACAATGCAGTGTAATAAAATGCAGTGTAAATCAAGACAATGCAATACAATACTGTGCAATACAAAGCAATGCAGTGTAATACAATACAGTGCAACACAATGTGGTACAGTGCAATACAATGCAGTGCAATACAATACATCGCAGTTCAATACAGTGCAATACAATGTAGTGCAATGCAGTGCAATAAAATACAATACAGTTACAATGTAATTCATTTCAATACAATGCAGTACAATACAATGTGGTACAGTGCAATACAATGCAGTGCAATACAATACATCGCAGTTCAATACAGTGCAGTGCAATACAATACAGTGTAATACAATACATCGCAGTTCAGTGCAGTGCAATACAATACAGTGCAATACAATACATCGCAGTTCAATAAAGTGCAATACAATGTAGTGCAAAGCAGTGGAATAAAATACAATACAGTGCAATTCAATACAATGCAATACAATACAGTGCAATACAAAACAATGCTGTGCAATAGAATACAGTACACTGCAGTACAATACAATGCAGTGCAATAAAATACAATGCAGTGTAATAAAATGCAGTGTAATTCAAGACAATGCAATACAATACTGTGCAATACAATACAGTGCAATATAATACAATGCAGTGCACTGCAATGCAATGCAATACAATATGGTGCAGTGCAATATATTGCAGTGCAATTCAAAACAATGCAGTGTAATACAATGCAGTGCAACACAATGTGGTACAGTGCAATACATTATAATGCAGTGCAATACAATACAATGCAGCGCAATACAATGTAGTACACTGCAGTCCAATACAATGCAGTGCAATAAAGTACAATGCAGTGCAATATAATATAATACAGTGCAATACAGTACAATATAATGCAATTGAATACAATGCAGTGCAATACAATGCAGTGCAATACAATAAAATGCAGTACAATAAATACAATGATGTGCTATACAATACAATACAATGCAATGAAATGCAATTCAATGCTATGAATGTACACCTTCTACAGTCAAATAAACACAGATAAAATTGTAATAGTATGTTAGTCTATCGAGTTTGAAGTGGGTGGGGGATACAATTACCAGTCTGCTGATTGATGACTTAATAACTTAGAAAAGATCTCCTAGCTTTTAACAGGTGGCACTTATGTCTACCTTATGTTCTTGAACAATCTCGTCTAAGAATACAGACCCGTATCCTGGATTAACCTGGGGGAGTGGTTTTACCAAGGGGGAGATTTTGCCAAGAGGGGGGAGCTTTTTGACAGTTATGGCAAAAAAATCATGCGAAAAGTGCTAAGAATGGTGAAAAACTGCATGATTTTGAACGAATATTTGGCAAGGGGGAGGGGGGTGAGGCCCCCTGGCTACGGCCATGGAATACATATAGGAACTTTCCTTCTCCCAGAAGAAATGGTATACAGGTATTACATCAATCATTCTGGTATTTTGTATACGAAGGTCTGTAGTTACTTTATTGAAAGATGGCAGTGTACACTGTGTACTACCATTTTGAGGTCAGTTTGACTTTATAATTCTGCGCACTATATTCTGTAATTCTCATAGATATCCTCTCTAGAGGCATCACTGTGATCCAAAATTACAATTTCGCAGGTCAAGTCTGCAGTCTTTCGAAAAAAGTTGAATTCGTTGTGCTACCCTTTCTTGTTGGGCATTTATTAACAGAAAACTATAATTACAATGCGCCAGCATATACAAGCTTCAGCGCGATATTTTGAGTATGTTAATAAATAAAGTGCGCAGAAATCGATCTTACTGGGCCGCGGTGTGCGATATCACTCATAAACAATTTTTAATTGCGCACTGAATGAATTACAGGGGCGCGTTGTGCAAAGTGAATTAAATAAATAAAGTGCGCAGAAATATATCTGACTGGGCCGCGGTGTGTGATATCACTCCCATGTTAAAACTCCATTGAATTTTAAATTCTGCGGTATATCCCCTTTCGCTTTCCGTAGATTACTTACATAGAACCCCCGCCATAAGTTTCACAACTGGAGGTCTTCAATTAATAGCGCGCCAAAGCCATTAGATAGGTTTCGCACAACGTTTTTAGCTCAAATATCTAAATTCCGTACCGTATTTACACAGCAGTTCAATTAAAACGAGATGCAGTTAAAGATATGTTTTAGCTATAACTCTTTTTGCGAAACCTCTCTAGTATTTGAATCTTTACTTCGATATTTTAATAAAATAGTAAACGTAAACACGCGATCAAGAAGGGGTCTTCCTGTTGATAAACTTATCGAGGGGGTGTACATTTCGATTCAATTGATATTTGCCATGTAAGTGATGATAATACATCGAAACAATATTCGAGCGACTTCAAAGGGCGTTTCTTTTTGTAATATAAATGACGCAATTTGCTTTTGTTCAAAGGTAACAAAATACTGTTTGAAAGGTTGGATTTTCAATAAGGATCTGACTTGCTTAAAGGTGCAACAATTAGTGCAGATCATGGACCAGTGTCAAAATACACTCCCCTCCATAAGTTTGGCAACCTTTTTCCCCCATTGAACTACGTGTTAAAGCCTCTTTACCTTTGAATTTTTATTTACTTAACCTGCAATGAAAATACTTATAATTTGATGGAAACGTAATTAGACTTTAATTCCAATACCTCCAAATTTTCTCAAATTTTTTCCTCAATTACAATAGGTCGAAAATTGATGATAAATTTGATGAATTTTTGAAAATCGACATTCCCATGTTAACCAATGGGAAATGATAGGTTTGCCGCAAATCATATGACAGAATATCCATCTCTCCGAGTCCTTGCAAAAATTTACGAGTTAGGCAGGCAATTGAATTTGCTAACTTTATTTAACAAAAAATTGATATGTTTCTTCAGGTTCAACAAAGTTATAAGGCTTGAAAGTCAAAATTGTTTTTCAAAAAACCTCTCCCATTGAAATAACACAGGAGGCGAAAAATTATTTTCAAAAATGACTTTGAAGTGCTGCAACTTTAATATTCATCAAATAAACTAAACACTTAGTGTTCAAAAAAGTTAGACAATTCAATTTTCTATATAAAAATATTTTTTGCTGCATCTTTTACTGAAAAGATATCCTAATTTCTGATTTGCCCCGAACCCTCCATTTCCCATTGGATTACATGGGAATGACGATTTTCAAAAAATCATCAAATTTATCATCAATTTTCGACCTATTGTAATTGAGGAAAAAAATTGAGAAAATTTGGAGGTATTGGAAATAAAGTCAAGTTACGTTTCCATCAATATTATAAGTTATTTCATCGCCGGTTAAGTAAATACAAATTCAAACGTAAAGAGGCTTTAACACGTAGTTCAATGGGGAAAAAGGGTTGCCAAACTTATGGAGGGGAGAGTATATTTGAGTTTGGATATTTCATTAAGACTAACATATATTTTTATTATCTACAAAGAAACCCCCTGAATGAACATTATTTCGGCTGATATTCCTCTTAAAACATGGTTGATCTTAAAAATCTATAAGTGGGACTCCCTCTATAGAAGCGTTGAACTGAATTTACACAGCTTGATGCAGAAATTGATAGTTTATCCATACATTTTAAGAAAATATGTATGTCAAAGAAGATGTTAAGCCAAATGATGCCCCGATAGCTCAGAAAAAGTAAAAATGTTAAAATTTTCTCTCTACAGGCCTTGTTGTCCCTTTGAGTGGTCTTGTTAAAAAGTTATCTTATTTAACAACTTTATCAGAAGAGATTCACTTCAGCAAAGCATGCTTTTATTTTAAAACATCGATTTTTGTAAGAATAAGAAAAAACATTATTTCTAACTTTTATTAAAAGTTATTATAGCACAAAGATTAACAATTAACTGCTCTGAAGGTAAATTTACAACATTTGACAGCAGCCATGTCTCCTAACCAAGGGCCCGGCGTTACAATACCCGGGGATTTGTCGTTTCGTGCAGTACGTCCGGGATGATTGCAATGCATTGATTTATTTCTTGTCCTAACTCTTGTGAATTTACTTCATAAGACATGCGAACTTCCAAACAACAAAGAATCGATATTCTGAAAGTCATGTTAACTGTAGAATCCATGAAGAGGCCATGTCTATTGAGACATTGAGTCCATGTCCATTGATTGAGCAAATTAATTACATATCATTTTCAATTATGTATCATCAAAATATATTCAATAACATATCATTACCAAAGGGTTACTGGGTTGGGTTAAAAGGTGAGGGTAAGAGCTATCGGCCCTTGCTACTGGTGCAGGGGTATTATAAGAATATCTGAAAATATGCAACAGGCAAAACGAATGAAAAACAACAGGCCAAACAAATGAAAACAAAAACACAGGCAAAGCAAATGAAAACATGAACAAAAAAACAACAGGCAAAACAAATGAAAACGACAGGCAAACCAAATGAAAACAACAGGCAAACCAAATGAAAATAGACAAAACAAAATAATAAAAACAACAGGCAAAATGAATGAAAACAACAGGCAAAACAAATGAAAACACCAAGCAAACCAAATGAAAAAACCGCCAATGCAAAAGGAAACAACAGGCAAAACAAATGAAAACATGAACAAATGAAAACATCCGGCAGAGTGAATGAAAACAATAGGCAGACCAAATGAAAACAACAGAAAAGACAAATGAAAACAACAGGCAAACCAAATGAAAACAACAGACAAGACAAATGAAAACAACAGGCAAACCAAATGAAAACAACAGGCAAGACAAATGAAATCAACAAGCATACCAAATGAAAACAACAGGCAAACCAAATGAAAATAACAGGCAAAAATTAAGACAAATGAAAACAACAGGCAAAGCAAATAAAAACAACAGGCGAACCAAATGAAAACAACAGACAAAACAAAAGAAAACAACAGACAAAACAAAAGAAAACAACAGGCAAACCAAATGAAAACAACAGACAAATCAAATGAAAACAACAGGCAAACCAAATGAAAACAACAGGCCAAACAGATGAAAACAACAGGCAAAACAAAAGAAAACAACAGGCAAAACAAATGAAAACGACATGGAAGACAAATGAAAACAACAGGCACACCAAATCGGAAAACATCAGGCAAAAGAAAAGAAAACAACAGGCAAAACAAATAAAACACATGGCAAAATTATTGAAAATTAAAATTTACCATGGAAACAGTTGCAAAGTTGTTCCGAGTCAAAACGACCGGCGCTTTTGTAAGAAAAAAACAAAAAAACACCCCATGCTGGGAAGGAAACCTTTGGACTATTGTGTTCCTAGTATTTCCAACCTAGTTATTGAACTGTACTGTGTGTAATAGATGACTACTTGTAGAATATGATTTCTTATTATATAATTACAAAATATATTGTGCTATTGTTGCAATTACGAAAGTCATGCAATTTGAACAATTTTACATAATGGCGTAATAGTTGTTTATAGGAAATGTGAAACACTAATGATATGAGTTTTTCCCGGTAGGTTGGATGTAGGAAAACAAGTACAGTATAATTTGAAAATATGAATGATCGATGAACACTTTCCAGGATGAGGTCCTATCCTTCTTTCATGAGAGAAATCCAATTTTAGGCTAATAGGCCTACCTGCCTTACTTCAATCTTAGTCAACAAATATGTATAGTCGTGAGTATATCTCACGGGGTACTTCTGCAATCTGAACTTACTTGATGCAGCATGAATCAATGGGCATTCAAACTACTGACAAGCTTGTTCAGTACTGCCATCTTTCTATCAAGTGATTTCCCGGGAACAATATTTGAATTACTTACACTATACGAAACAATAGCAATTTTGGCGCGTGACCTTATTACTCAAAGCACCTGATATATGTCGTCGCTTAGGAAATAGTAATATATATATTGTGATATATTCGACTTCAATATATATATTATTTTATGAAATAAGTAAATTGATATGACTTAAAATATTCATCTTTGTTTTCTTTCCATTCTCAGAGGCAGCTTGTGCTGTATATTTCTGCTTTTCTTCGGCGCACTATTTTTCTCAGCATCGATATATTAATGAGCAAATCCAAAATGGCGTAGGGGATTTGCAGCCAAATTTTGAAATTGCTTTAGGAAATTGCATATTGCAGCTCCATTTGACCTAGTTCAACGTGTTTACGGAGTGCAATCGAATCAAGGTAAGTCTCTGCATGAACTGTTGTAAGGTTTACCCTCTTTAACATTTTAAACGATAAAGACATGCAGTCGTAAATTTGCAATTTTTTCAGGTTTTTCAGTTTTCGTTGCCACTGTAATCAATTATCGTTGCTAGACATGTTCAAATGAAATCCAGCTTACAACTGTTCGCGAGAAGCTATATTATTGATGTGACAATCTAAATATGTTTTCTAACAATTTATTTTATATAGTGTTGTTTCAATGGCTGGAAATGAACGTATCGTGATGTCTGAACCAAGACCAAAGTTTCTGCAACGACTGCGTAACAGAACAGACAGTGAGGGTCACTCAAGTAATGCAGGAAGTGCACACCAGGACAATAGGCCAAATAATTGGGTAACTTTTTCATTTTGTACAGTACAGGTTGAGTCAGTTGGATTGCATGTCCATCAAACCTAAAAAGCGACCACAGTACAATAAAATATATTTATATTTTGGATACAAATCTAAAAAATAAGCGACCACAGTACAATAAAATATATTCATATTTTGGATACAAATCATTTGTATATATTCAGTTACTAGTTCAGTGTGTAGTAATCTGGGAGTTTCTCTGAATTACAAGAGGCCACAGCTTAACTGTACATTTGACTGCAGTAATTATTCTTTAGATAAGCAAATCATAGAGCATATCTTGTTTTCTAGGATTTTTCGAACTGGAGACCAAGTCAGACTTTTGATCCCAGCAAAACCAAGGTTAAAGTAGGGATAGGAAATACAGAGAGAGAACAGTCACTATCAGTTGAATCAACACCAACAAGTGACAACAGAAAGCATCGAACCCCTTCAACTTTTCCAAGAACTAAAATGACTGCTGTAACTCCCAAGGCGCACCGGGAAGCTATCGAAAATCTCCGCCAGGCATTGTCATTTAGTGAGTCCGAGGGTGTAAGCGAATCAGATGGAGAGAAGAATAACGAAAGGTTTACAATGAGATTGAATCAGAATGACATCAATGGGCATTTTGTTGATAATTGGATTGCTTCTGATTCTGAAATATCTGATGTTGAACCAGTAAGTAAACTTTGAATATACCTCTAATTACGATTTTTGATTATATTGGTCCAGACTAAAGAATATATACCATACATGTACAAGAAATTAAAAATAAGTTATTTTCGGTAATTTGCAATGGCTACCAGCTTATTCAATGATGATTTCAAAAGAGAATGTGGGTTTCTAAATCAGATTGTACATACTGTACATAAAATAATTTGCTTATGTTGCAGTTTCATAAAAATTTCATCAAAATAACAGTCAATTGTTGTAAAAACGAGCAGAGAACATTGCTTGTAGCTCATACAACCTCTGATTAGGAATTCCATGCTATTTCAGCCGGACAGTAACCAGATTGTTGGTAGATTGATGCAGATCAGAGACTATATAAAACAAGCTGCTGCTATGGGTGGAACATTGAAGGCATCAACTGAACCAGTAAGTTACACTCTACATTATCATACTGCAATATTTTCCCAAAAATATTTTTCCTCAAATTATCTCTACAAAATTTTGATTTTCAAAATCATTACCAAAATTCAAACAACCTTCTTATTTTTAACATGGGTGCAGTTGGGCTATTTCATGGGTGAAATGTTGTCTTAAAAATCTCAAGGGCCCTTGTCTTTAAAATCTCAAGGGGCCCTTGTCTTAAAAATCTCAAGGTGGCCCTTATAACATTTGTACTTGTATTTGACATAATCTGTAATTTGTTCCAAGATGTTTAAGTAATTCAAAGGACTAAAAGTTTTAAGTTTTGCGCATTTGGAATCATTTTCTGAATTATTTCAACTTACAATCATAAGCTTAAAAGGCTCAATGCTAAATTATGGCAGGCAGATTTTGTTTAGAATAACAACACAAAATTGCTTTTTGCCTCCTGTTTATAATTTCCTGTCAAGTTGCGAGCACTAATCGGTATATCCCTGTATTCTAGGCCCACCGAGAACAGGTAGAAAAACTTGAGAGACTCGTACAGCACTTGAAAGAACAAGAGAAAGGCTACATGAACCTACTGCAGAGAATATTGGTAAGATTATACATTAATAAACCTTTTCAGTAAACCTTTCACCTTTTGATAAATCAGAGAAACTTATGATATATTGGCTAGATTGATAATGTCACTGTGGCAAGCTGTCCAGGCAAAAATAGGATTAACTTATTGGTTATTTTGAAAAAGTACAATCAAATATCACCAGACAGGCCAATATAGCTTCTTTGATGTAACAAAATTCTGCATTTGTGCGATTTCTTCTCATAACTTTTCAAAGATTATCAAAATTTGTGGTTAGTGAAATTAAAGTTGACCTGATAAGTATTTAGTCACTAAGTTCTTTTTTGTTCACATGGTTAACATTCGAATCGCCAACTAGACCTACCTTTTGTCTGTCCAAAAATTTAACTTTTCCATCTTTTAATGATTCCTGGATAAATGAAATCCGCCTATCTTCTGAAAGCATATAGAATATGAATATTCGTTATTCAGTTCAAGTCACATATTTTCAAAACAGTTTATCTCTGTAAAGACAATCAAATGACAAATATTTGAGTTGTTAATATGAGATTTTATTCAAGGCACACCGTGATGAAACCCTTCTAATAGTGGACCATAATTATGGTGGGTCAAGTATTTTGAGTTTTTAATGTGAGATTTTATTCTAGGCACACCGTGATGAGACCCTTCTCGTAGTGGACCATAATTCTGGTGGGTCAGGCCATTCAAAGATCTCAGCTGCCGACAGTACTTCAATAGACATGGACATGCAGTCAGATGTCTCAGAGTGTACGACTGTAAGTATGAACATTAACTGACACTTAATTTTAGATATGCTCTCAAGTTCTAGTGCTTTATATAACATGTTTAGTTCACAAACAATTTCTCATTCATATTCAGGAAAAATCAGTTTATAGCATTGACATTTTTATCTTGTTTAATTTAAATATGGTTTATATGACAACTGAGTTTAATTCAGAAAAAAACAGTTTATAGCATTGACATTTTGATCTTGTTTAATTTAAATATGGTTTATATGACAACTGAGTTTAATTCAGAAAAAAACAGTTTATAGCATTGACATTTTGATCTTGTTTAATTTAAATATGGTTTATATGACAGCTGAGTTTAATGATATGACAGTTGAATGTAATGTTAAGACATTTGAATTAGGGCCGGAACGATTAGTCTAACTAGTTGGATACGAAGAAAGTTGGGCTGATAGTCGACTTTGATTTGGAAAAATCGATCGTCGAAGACATATCCCCGGGAAAAATTGTGAAGAAAAGTTCATAAATGAACGTTCACTCACCTCATTTTTGTGATGTTGTTATGTATTTTCCTTACTTATCCAGCCCAAAATGCATGTTTCTACTCTTCAAAACACTTCAAACATATGCTATAAACAGATTCACTTCTTTATTCGATACTAATTGAAGTTATTTAACTTTTAAAAAGTTTACTTTTAGCGATCCATTAAAGGCCGCCGAAGCACTTCATTTTTAATTGGCAAGAATATAGTCCCACACATTTATCATTTTTATAATGTGCTATCATGCAATATGGGTATATGTGCCATCGCAAATCGCAATGATCACCCGTGACCGTTAGGGTAAAGTATTCACATATGGGAGACTTCCCTTTTGAGTTTGACATTTTATTTAAATATTGCGCGAATTCAAACTAAGTAGTTCCGGTAACGGTCAAGGTCAGCGGAAGTAAATAGAAGAAGACGTTTATTTACAATAATGATAAATTCTAGTTGAATTATTGCATAAAACAACACAAATACACAATATAAACTTTAAAAACGATCGATTTATTATATTTGATACATTGTTTATACAAGAAACAGAGTACTAGGAGAAACAAATCTGTAAATGCGGCAAAAACTGATGACAGATAAAGGAAATATTTTATTTTTATTTTTTCCGAAGCCAGAGGGCAACTAATCGATGACGACTCAACTAAGACACCTCAACTAGTCGACTCCGAAATTCATAGTTGGTTCCGGCCCTAATTTGAATGTAATAATGACATTAGAATGTGACATTGTGGCATTTCAGTGTAATATTATAAATGAAACAATCCAATGGATATGAAATGAAGAAAATTATTTTTCATATGCCATAAGATATTGATTCTCCTGATGGATTTGGCATTTTATAAAATAAATGTCAAGATTCTGTATTTAACAAAAATGCATGTTAGTATGTTAGTTCCAAGGCTTTAAGTCATAGGTATTTAGTTTTAAAATATCTCCATCTTTAGTCATTTCAGCGCAAGTCTATATCTGGGTACTGTAGCAAATATTTCATCTAAATTCTGACTAAAACTTGTATTTAGAATATGTTAAACATGGACCTAAACTTCTTTTCTTAGGATCGCTCTCTAAATGCAAACACACGTCCTAAAATTGAAAGTTGTCTCGGAAAATATTCAGACGCCGAAGATCCTTTACTGAGTGCAAGATCTCAGAGTACCCAGAATTCCTCAACACTCGATTTAGAATCGACCCTCGTCCCGGATTCAAATCAAAATTGGGTGCATTTATTTGATAATGATTACAAAGAATCTACGACTTCCACAGAGGTACTATGGGAAGTCTTCACAGGGCCGGGGGTCATGTCATAGAACTAAGGGGTCTAGATTGCTTCAAAGCATATATTCATCATTCATATCTTACTCAAATTTTTTATTTGTAATTTTTTTATTTGTGTTCACAAAGTATTAATACCTGCATGCTATCTTTCGTATCGCTTTTTGTAATAATTCATTGTGCATGATGCTTATGCCTTGGTCACAATTGCTCCAATCCATTGGCTGGCGCCAAGCCTTAATTGAGTATTTAATTCAAAATTGTATTCAGTTTAGAACAAAATACTCATTTGGCCTGGTGCCGGCTGACAAAACGGAGTAAATGTGACTCAGGCATAAGTCATAAATGTTAAGTGATATACAGAGATTCATCACCTCTGATTGGCTGTCATGGGTCACATGACACAAGCTAAGACCATTGGGAAAAACCTCCTTTGCTAGAAATTGTATGGTCAATTGTATTATATGGTCACCCTTTAGCTGTTATGACATGGCCCTTGTCCTTTGAGACTTTCAGAACATTTTTATCACTTATGGTTTTGTGTTTTGCTCTGCACACTTTTGCACAATATTTGTCTGCTTTCTTAAACTACATTGTAATTTACTATTATAGTTTTAATGCTTATTGAGATGAAAAATCAAATAGAAATCACATGTTTGTCACACTTTTGCTGTAGCACAGTGTTCTTTTTCTTAAAAGATTTAGAATCTTACACTAGCAACAAGTAAGGTTGTTTTACCAAAATTGCTTGTTTTGCGAATTTCTCAATGATTCCAGGTGTTAGAAAATGTTCTCATATTTTTGAAATTCATTTGTTTTGCCCACATGTGAGCACTTTGTGTTGTTAATATTAAAAGTAAACTGAGCGCTTCTTGATAACTATTTTAACTTTCAGTTATGAGGTCATATTCATAGTTGAAATATGTCAGTGTAAAGCTTTGTGAATAAAATGGAGCAAATGGATTTTTTCAGTTGCTTGTGATTTGTGTCTCTTGTCTGATAAGATTGTAGTGTACATATTTATAAAAAACAATTTATTTGTGACTTATGTTTTTAATTGCATTTGAAATAGAAAAGCACAGTTCTTTATGTATGTCTGGGCACTCATATTTAGCTTAAATGTATTTGCTAGTTTTCATCATTTAACGTTTATATTTTTTTATATACCAAGCCTGTTGTTTGTACCTACTAAACAAATGTGTTTGTCTGACTCCATTTTTTAGCTTCATTCAGCCTTTTAACAGCTAAATGGTGACCTTTGTATGTAATAATGATGTCACATTAGTTAAATTCTCAATGGTAATGGTACAATATTATATTAGCCAGGCCACAGGAAAAGGGGTCTTATCACAGATTTTTTCAATATTTTGATATTTTTTTCTCTTAAAAAGCACAAAGAGACCTTTCAAATGAGCCATGGCTTATGTTCTAACAATTTTTCCTTGCATATATAGACCAAAAAGTCAGATTTGAATTTAGCACATTTTCCTCTTAATCTGGAACACATTATATTTAATTAGTATTTACAAGTTCATGTAGTAAGAATTGTTTTCTGGACATGATCCCCTGACCCATTGTTTTCATTCAAGTTATACAATTGACAGTGTATTCTCATTATCGACTTTAATGGCAAATCATTATCATCTGTGCCCTCTGGGAGAAAAATGTATTCCTTATTATGCACTTGTGATGTCACCTTGACAAGTGGTACCACACATATCCCTTATAGGGTTCTCACCAGGAAATTTTTAGACCCTGGATTTTTTCGCAGTATCGCGACTTCTCCTTCCCCATGTGAGATCAGAGATATCCTCTTTAAGTAACTTTCTATGATTTCATCTAAAAATTAAAACCCTTGGAAATACTAAATATGGTTTAAGTGCCATATATAAAAATTTATTTTAAAAATATTGTGGATCAAAATGAAAAAAAAACAAAAATAAAGAATAAAAACATATTCCACCGGAGGGATTTGAACCCAGATCTTATGGAATAAAACTCTGTTTGAGCCCAAAGCTCTAACCACTACACCAAACTGCCAATGCTTCCTGAAGGAAGAAATTCTTTATCTATATAATCATGGACGAAAAAAGTCTTATTTACATGCTTAGATTTCTTAAAAATGATCAGCATTACTACTAATAATATCATTTTGCATGTCTGAGTATGTATTTTGATCTACATTTAGGATGAATGTTGTTTTATTCAGTTTTCATTTTGGGTATGACTTCCTGTCAAAACAGTGTTAAAAATGCAGGGCTCAACAAAAATTTTCAATTAGAAAATGATATATATCCTTTGATGAGCTGTTTTTGGCACCTGAACTCATCCTACTAGAAAGGTAAGAGCATTTTCTTGAGACATATGGCTCGAAATCTCACATTTCTCCTTCTAAGTCTTAGAAAGACACTTTTAGTGTACTTTTCAAAATACGACAAGATCATCTCCCTTTTTTAATCATGATATACTTTTCTAAAAGGTTTCTGACTTCCTATTCCTTGTTTGTATCAAGTTTTGTGTATTTTCTCAAGAGTTTTACCACAAACAATGTGACAAAAATGCAAAATTAGACTCCGGAAAAAACACTTTAGACTCCGGAAAAGCTATTAGACTCTGGAGCAAGAGGGACTAAAGACATTAGACTCCGGAGAATCTCCAGTGTCTAAAGCCTAGTGAGAACCCTGCCTTATAATACACCTGTAATTCAACCGTTTTTAACCCTTACTAATAAATGAACAATGTAGTCCAAGATAGGTGGCGCTAAATCACACAAAAGGACCCCATATGCCTTGTAATCCAAGTGTAATTTATCTTATTTGTTTGACTATTATTTTTTAACCTTTACTAGTAAATGAACAATGTAGTCCAAGATAGGTGGCTAAATCTCACAAATGGACCCCATATGCCTTTTAATCCAAGTGTAATTTATCTTATTTGTTTTGACTTATGTAATATTCTAGTCTGAAGTTGGAGCTGCTGGCCCCAAGAACGATGAGCTTGAATCACTGTGGTATCAAAATGAACTGTTAAGGAAGATGTTGGAGCAACAAGAACAGGTATTTATGATTCTTTTTCAAACACCTTGGCTACATATACAATAAAACCTGTGTTATCCAAACGCCACAGGGACTGGTCAAAAGTTTTCATATCAGTGATCTCCCCAGATTAAAGCAAGTGGGGGCAGTGCCCACCTGAGATTTTGATAATAGGCGTGCAGCCACCTGAGAATCCATTTGCACCCATTTGAAAATAAGAAAAATCATGGAAATATGGGAATATTTTGACCAAAATCGGTCAAAATTGTGGAATTGAGAATTTTGCACCCACTTGGGAAAAAGTCCCGTGGAGATCACTGCATATTGATAGAAGTTTTAGGGGTTTTATAATGAAATATATGGATTCAAAATTTGAATAGAAATGCTCAAGTTGAGAGATGTTTGGCTGTACAGGTTTCTTAATTTAAATTAAGAATGAGAGGTATAGAGGATGACAAAATTGCACGCAGCAAGTTCAAAGTGCAGCTTTTATAACCAGAAGTTGTTCTTGTTCAACCCAAAACTGAGTTGACTCTTCAACTGGGGAGTTGAGGCCCAACTTGCAGGGAATCGACTCCTCGGGTTATTGTCCATCCCAAGTTACAGTATAAAAATATGGGTATGTTTGATTATTGATCACAACTATTAGATGGATAGAATACAGTAAAATGTTAATTCTATGTATTTATTTATTTCAGTTGCGTTCTCTGCAAGACCGTCAGTCGGCATTGATGAAGCTTCAGAAAGAAGCAGACAGCAAACTAAGAACACTGAAGGATACAGATGCAGGTAATGTATACAGTATATCCATTAATTTACATATATTCTTTGGTTTTTTGTATTCTATATTGTACATATTTATAAGATCAGTGACACTTACATAAACTATTTTAAACTAAACTTAAAACTGTTTTTCAGCCTCCAGGAATAGTACGAGGGGTGATCCAAAAGTCTTGGACGTCCCGCTCTAACTTTGCTATTTTTTAATGTAATTACGTGAAACTTTCAGATAATAAAGATGAACATCTTAACAACTTTATGTATAAGTTTCAACATAAAAGACTATATTTTAGCTACTTTTCTACATATCTTTTAATACCGGGTCGCTGCCACCCGGAACGATATTTAAATATAGCAAATCACGTCACAACTGTTATAATATGGCTTATACTTTAGGTGCAGGTGCACAACCTAACACCAGCCATGATATGAGAGAATCTTCGATTTTCAATCTGAGTGTTATCTGCCATCATCATCTTCACATATTAAGACCTACTTTTCAACATATTTTCCACGAATATGAACACATTTTTCATACCACTTTACCAATGAATGGAAGACATTTATGAAACCGTCATTGCTTATGTGATACAAATGCTGCTGGAGTGCTACTCTAAACCTCATTCAATAAGTAAAAAACATTTTCTTTCAACCATTCTTTCAACTTGGAGAAAAGGAAGAAAATCACATGGAGCCATAGATAGACTGTATTGTGCATATGGTAGCTAATAAGCTGCTCAAGGTCAATAATAGTGAAAATATCTTGTAGTATTCTTTGTTCCACTTTGATTTCTTTCATGTTCTGCATTTCAGCAGCCATTTTGCAGCAAAAATGATACCAGAATGAGGGTTGCTTGTCTGATGGCATTTTTTTAGAATTTGACATGTGCGGCCATTGTCACATGTGACATTATAATTAAAACACAATTAATTGGTTGCCTAGTAACAAATGAAGTAAAGTAACATTGTTTAACATTTAAACTTTAAAGAAATATAGTGGTCAAGACATGCGAAACAAGTGAAATGGCGGTAACATTTAAGGGTGAAAGTTGCCATGTGCGAATAGCGTTCCGGGTGGCAGGGTCCCTGTATTAAAAACTATCTAGAAAACTATACAAAATATATCATTTCTCCATGAAATTAATACACAAAGTAGTTAGGTTGTTGGTCTTTATTATTAGAAAGTTTAAAGTAATTTTATCAAAAACCAACAAAAATAGAGCAGGGCGTCCAAGACTTTTGGATCACCCCTCGTATATGGGGGTTTGGGAAAAACATAATTTTTCTGTTAATTTTAAATCTCTCTGATGTATAGCTTTATTATACTCGAATTGAAGGTATTTTCGATTAGATTGCAATTGTATCGCACCATGGAGTTTCCATTTTCTAGTTATATTATGATTTCTAGATGAAGCTACATTGAGGGCAGTAGGTGCATCTAATGGTGTTCCTCACTCTGATGCTGTGGATCTCGACACAACAGCTACAAACACTACAGCTACACAGTCCGAGACTGACGACACAGAACAACAAATCGAAGATGGTACACTCGTCCCATCTGAACTCAAAGAACTTCGATCTAGACTCAATTATCTCAAGAACTTGTATGATAGTGATTCCATACAACAGACTAGCCAATCAGAGACTGACGGCAACAACACAGATACAATGTCTGTGACGTCACTCAACCGGAGAGAGCTGAAACACAAGTTGAAGGACCTTCAGGATAAAAAGTCTCGTATGGACAGCTTGTTGATGGAGCTACAAGGCATGCGTGCTGGACAGAGGCCTGCATTGAATAATGGTAAATAATTTGATAAGATTTGATGAGCATGTGTTTCTTTAGCATATCAGGCAACATGCGATTTTTACCCATGTTTTTTCATAATCACCTGCTGTTTCATATGAATTTTGCAATTGTTTTCATATTGAAATTATAATTTCCAATAATTTTGCCTGTTCTCGTTTATGTTGGCTTTTCTAAAGGTCTAATTGTATTGTATTTTGTTTACCACCAATGAAGGTGAGCAATACCTCTTGTCCCGGAAGGACATCCATGTTCCATTTCATCCTTCTGAGCTATTTACTTGAAGAAGAAGGATAAACTTGCAATTTTCAGAGGGATTACTTGAGAGGAAAAACTAGAAATGATGTAGATTTTCATTGCAATTTTCTTATCAATATGCCTAGGATGTGTGAATTTGATAAATGAATGAATATGATTAATTTTTAGAAGTAGACACACAAAGTAATACTTCATCAGTTGTACATATCCAAGACTCCCTGCAAGCTACAGCTTCTGCCAACGCCACGGCAACTGATGCACAACAAATGCTAGAGATGTTAGATGCCAGGAAAAAACTCAAGTGAGTGGCAAAAAATTGTGAATGCATTGTGAAATTTGTCTGTAACAGAGTGTGTTTCAAGTAATGTATTGTAAATGGATATTTCACAATTTATTTTTTTCCTCAAGTACATGTTCAATTAAAGTTGCAAGATGTGAGGGATAGGCTGACACAACTAAATTACCTTATTCGGTACTAAATAAGAGAAGTTATACTTGAGGTCATTAGCACACTGTCTAGAATAAATCATACAATCTACTCTGGGTTTGTTCAACATTTATTCCCCTGCAAAGAATATTAGACAAAATTCATATGGAGTCAGAATTAACAAGTATGTGACCAAAGGCGTAGTTAGTAGAATTAACAAAGTAAAATTGTTCAACTTTGTGCAGCCTTATTCACCCTTGTTCAACCTTATTCAACCTTGTGCAACTTTATTCACCCTTGTTCAACCTTATCCAACCTTGTTCAACCTTATTCAACCTTGTTCAACCTTATTCAACCTTGTTCAACCTTATTCAACCTTGTTCAACTTTATTCACCCTTGTTCAACCTTATTCATCATTGTTCAGCCTTATTCACCCTTGTTCAACCTTGTTCAACTTTGTTCACCCTTGTTCAACCGTATCCATCATTATTCAACCTTATTCAACCTTGTTCAACCTTATTCGACCATGTTCAACCCTAGGAAACTGCATGATGTGAGGGGCAGGTTAACTCAACTAAAGGACCTTGTACAGTACTACCAGCAGGGGTCAGAGTTCATACACGAGGATGATTCGGAAGCCCCTGACCAATCCAGTATGCTGGCATTCAGTGACTATGAGGACCCTGAGCTCATGAGAAGTCTCAGGTATTTTATAATTTTTATGTTCCCACTAAAAAGAATAGTGGAAATGTTGGAATTGATGATTTGCGATCACCGGATGGATTCTATCTTGTAATGACGTCAAAATTAGGCCACTCAGCTTTAGATGTTGTTGAGAGATTATCTTCTATATTTTTTGCTTTATTGATTTATTTTTCACAAAAGTGTTCGATTTGACTAGATCAACATTCATTCTAAGCACATGTCAAGTCTAAGATCCTACTTGATTTAAATAGCGGTTAAGCGCCCCCCGATTTTGATAAAAATGGGGGGCGCTTATAGGCATCGATGTTTAGTATGAGTTTCAACGAAACTTCACACATATAAAGATAAACTCATGATCTAGTCAAATCGGCATACCTGGTAAATATCCGACCCATTGCTTTCATAAAAGACACGATTATATTTTCAACTCAAAACTGCCATGTGTCCGCCATTTCCTCTCTCCATCATGTCTAATATCAGTTTTATATGACGTCACACCAATAAGACAAAATACATGACAACAGTTTCCACAAACAAAACACTTGAATTCTGATCGCAAAAGGTCAAATGGTTGCCATCCGTAATCAATTGTTACAGTTTTGTAACACTTTGATTGTTAAGAAATTATTTCAAACTCAAACAGATTTTTATGGAAATTAGTCAGATATGTACAGAATTGTCAAATTCAATAGACTCTTTATTAGTAACCAAAGAAAAGTGAAAAAGATATTGTGTAAGTTAGAAACTTGACTTAGTTAAAGTCACTTTACTTTCTTTAAGTGGAAACTTGTGATTGGTTTTGTTGGATCACATTGTCCAGAAATAGGTGGCCCCTGTATTGCATATTAACTTGTACTTTTGCTATTAATATTAGGTGACTTTGAAGAAATAAATGGTCATGACATAAAATTGAAAAAAGCTGATAAGACGAATGATTTAGGTTCATTAGCAAGTTCACTATAATAAAATGAACAAAATATTCCAGAGAGTTGAAGAACAGAGAACGTCGACTGCTACAAGACGAAGAACTTGACACTTCCCAGCAGGCCACAGAAGATGAGACGTCACAAGTTGACGCAACTGAGACAGCATCTCAGCAAAGTAGCATGTATGGAGGATATGAAGACGACCCCGAGATACAAGATAAAGTCAGGTACGTCACCTCAAAAAATATATGAAATAATCTCTATATTTCATTTAATTACATTCAAAATACAGCTCTACGTTTTTTCACCAATTTTTCAAAATTGTACCCGTTTGGGTTATTTGAAACAATTTTGTGAATAATAGTTCAAAATTTCACCACTCTTGATTTTTGGATTATTTTTAAGTTGATATTTAGATTATGATTTTACATTCCAGAAAATTGAATGCAGCTAAAGAGAAGCTAGCAAGACTTCAGCAGCTTGTTGCCATGGTACAGCAATCCCCTGATGCAGCTAGAGTTCTGCCCGATGACCTTGCAGAGCTAGCTGCCAGTATAGATGGAGACACCACCTCTCAGGCAACCACAACGACACAAAATGATGGCCCTACTGTCTTATCTGAGCAACAAAGGTATGAAGTCTGAAATATTTAAGTCATTTTTAATTCTTGTTCTTGCTAACTTTGGGTTCTTTATTGTTTTTGGAATTTTAGCTTTTCTGGAAAATATCAGTAATAAGAAAATCAGTGGTAGAAGGGAAAATGCGTTTCACTCTTTATTTTGGACTTAAAATGGATTATTTTTAGGGGTAAAAAAATGTTGAAAACTATTCCGCTTATAGAGGTGTTCTACAAACAGAGGTTTTCTACATTTCTATTTCTATACACATTTTCTTACAAAATAGTTTCATTTAAAAGGGCAACATAACTTTAGAAATTGTTACACTTATGGAGGGGTTTTATTATACAGAGGTGCTCACTTGACCAAGTTTTACTGTTGTTTTTTTTCTAGGGAAGCCTTCTATGAGACTAAAGTGCAGGAGCAAAGAGCAGAGTTGGGAGAACTTATGCAGGAGAGACAGAAACTCCTAGCTATACAAGAGCAACTCCAGAAGCTACATGAGCAGTTCCCAATAGTAAGTAAAGTTAACAAAAAGTCAGCCACCAATCACCAAGTTGGCATTAAATAGTAAATGATTAACTCAACTTGAGTTTTTTAACTAGTGTATAACTTTTATTAACTCTCTGATGTCATCTCAATGATATATTAGTTAATACTGTGTACTGTATACAATAATAAACCTATAGTAGACTCAACTTACTATATACTACAAAAATACATATATAGTAAAGCTGTGGTGTCCTTCAACATATTTTGCTTCAAGATTGGAAAATTCTCATTTACACAAATATTCCCATTTTTCATGAATATTCACATTAAATAACTGAAAATCCGACAAGATGCAAGCCTTCTTTTACATTCCGTATTTCAAAACAATAACCAGAACAAATGTTTTATTTTACTTCAGAGCCCACGTATGCGTGAAGCAGAGGCCGCCACGAAAGAGGTTGTGTCAACTCCTGCCGTTAGGACACGTCGTCAAGAAGCCCCCTATGTTACATTCCAAGAACCACCAGCTGAAGGTAGGATTCCCGTGAATTAGTCAGAAGTACATTTCTTAAGTCAGAAGTACATTTCTTAATTCAGAAGTACATTTCTTAAGTCAGAAGTACATTTCTGAAGTCTTAGTACCTTTCTCAAATGAGCAGTACGTTTCTTGAGTTCATTTTTTGTGCAATTTTATTTTCAAAAAATCAATTATCAGCTTGATATTTTCCAAAGTATTGATAATCCCAATTTTATCATAGCTTAAGACTCAATTAAACAACTAAGTTATGCTTACTCTCATATGCCATATGTCAACTTATTCATAAAACTTCATCTCCAGTTGCTAGTAATGATGAACTCTGGGAGAAAATGCGTCGTCAGCGTATGTTACGAGAGGAGCTGCGTCAGAAGAAGCAGGAGCTTGAAGATATGATGCGCAAAGATCAGCCTAGAAGAGCCTATGGAAGAAACCAGGACAACCAAAGTGATAACATCTCTTTCTCAAATAAGTCTGATCCACTGGGGTAAGGAAAAATGCAAATCTCTTAAAGCAATAGACTTTTCCAATAAGCCAAACTGTCTTGGTACACAAACAAAATGTTATTATGTTGGGCGGATTATTAATGCTTTTGGTTGTCAGTAGTAGACAAGCACAGCTTTGAAATGAAAATAAGATTAACTTATTGCTAATATCCTGTGGAAATGTCTGTTAGTCTTCTCTCATAATCCATCAACATATCTTTCTCAAAAGTTTTTGGTCAACATATTATCAGAATTTGAAGATACTAGGCTAACTTACATATTATATAATACTCATATTTATAGCATGAGTGTGGTTAGTGGAGATATGACAATGGCCACATGGGGAGGATCTACTGTTCAAGACTTGGAGGAGATAGATGAGGATGAGAATGCAAGTGGGGATGGAGGAGAGCTAGAGGAGGATGAGGAAGATGATGGTAAGTACATGTATTGTCCCTTGATGCAACAATTTTTTCCTGAATTGCATTATTGCTTGAGAGATCACAGAATCATCTAATTATCTGATGAAATTGGGGCATTGCAGTAACCTTAGATGTTTAGTGGATAATGCATATAACTTGTAATCAATTATAACTGAGTAGGTAGGGAAATGTTTGACTTGCAAGTAAGATTGTGAAATTGATTATAATAGTTGGAAAACATTCGGGAAAATTCGTTGAACAATTGAACAAATATGCTTAAATGTAAAAAAGGTCAAGTACAAGGTAATCTTTCCAACCACAGAAAATACAAAACCATTCACCTTCTAATCTTACATCTCTGAAAATTAATTTTTCAACTTAACTTACCATCATAAAAATGTGCCTAGATTTTTGTAGAAAAATACGATAACATTTAATTGTTACTTTAAATCCAATTAACATTTCTCAGCTGATGGACTAACCTCAGTTTTGTTTTTTATACTTTTTTCTTATCATAACACTTTCAATAGTTAAACATAGTATTTTGAGAAAGTAATATGTTATACCAGATGTTACAATGAAATGTACTTAGTGTGTTTTGAGCATTATTGCACTATATCACTCAATATAAAAGTGATGATTTCAATTTCTAGGCTACCCTAGTGATGGTATAGTACAGGTAGAAGAAGAGGAAGAAGCTGCTGAGTCTGACAATGGCACTTATATCATAGGAGAAGATTATAGACAACACCTACGTGCCATGCACCTTCCTATCCCTGTAGTAGAAGAGAGATCACCCCCTGGACAGTCTAGACCTACAATTGACCCACAAGGTATGTTTATAAGTAATTTGCCTCCACCCCAAATGACACACAAGGTATGATTCTGAATAATTTGCTTCCTTCCTGAATCCATCCATTCCCCTCCTGAAACTATATTTGTCTTAATGAATCTGAATCTAAATGCAATGCAAATAACAAATTAATTTTGTTTTACACAAAATATACTATATTCTCCTTGTTTCAGATCCAAGGATGAACAGTCTGCCAGGCTTTACCAGGAACCAGCTAGGATCGAGAGGCCAGGTACAATATAGTTTGTGACAGAAATTATGATTCAATTTCTTTTTGTCCCCTTATAGGACTATTTAATCCTCATAAGAATCAACTAATAAACATATTAGCTAAAAATTTACATTTAACTGTTGCGTCAGTTCAGGAGACCAGGACTTATATTTCATTAGAGACGATTATTCCCTTTACAGGAGTACAGGATAACCTTTTACTTGTCCAATTCAATTTCATTCAATTTGCATAATATAAAACCCCAAAAATAAACAAAAAACGTAAACATAGAAATATAAAACATAAGTACTACTTTTAAAAAAAATATAGTTGATGAAATATTAGTGTGTATCAGCATTATCAATCTAGGCTAATCACAGATTTCTAATTTTCAAAATTTTGTATTTTATCCCTTGGAAACACAGGGGAGGTGCTAAAAAAAAACACTTTGGAAACTTTGGAAATTGTTTGATACAACCCATGAACTTATGTTTTCCATTTGACAGTTTTTCTTGTTAGTACCTCAGTTGAAATACTCGATTCTCCAGTCTCGGTCAACAGTACTTTCAAGGTTTACAGTATCAGTATACAATTTTGCCAGTTGACCTCAAGAGAGGTCTGCAGTTGTATACCGTACATTTACATCAAATTCATTCATTTTTATTACACTAGCCTGGTGTTGAGGAGCTGCAGCACCAGTTGGCTGGAGTAAATGCACTTTGTCAGTCACTCATCAAAGAACAAGAGCAACTGAATAGAGTCCTACAAGGAGGGACTTCAGGTATGTGTCTGAAATATATACCTGTATATGGAGTAAATGCACTTTGTCAGTCACTCATCAAGGAACAAGAGCAACTGAATAGAGTCCTACAAGGAGGGACTTCAGGTATGTGTCTGAAATATATACCTGTATATGGAGTAAATGCACTTTGTCAGTCACTCATCAAGGAACAAGAGCAACTGAATAGAGTCCTACAAGGAGGGACTTCAGGTATGTGTCTGAAATATATACCTGTATATGGAGTAAATGCACTTTGTCAGTCACTCATCAAGGAACAAGAGCAACTGAATAGAGTCCTACAAGGAGGGACTTCAGGTATGTGTCTGAAATATATACCTGTATATGGAGTAAATGCACTTTGTCAGTCACTCATCAAGGAACAAGAGCAACTGAATAGAGTCCTACAAGGAGGGACTTCAGGTATGTGTCTGAAATATATACCTGTATATGGAGTAAATGCACTTTGTCAGTCACTCATCAAGGAACAAGAGCAACTGAATAGAGTCCTACAAGGAGGGACTTCAGGTATGTGTCCGAAATATATACCTGTATATGGAGTAAATGCACTTTGTCAGTCACTCATCAAGGAACAAGAGCAACTGAATAGAGTCCTACAAGGAGGGACTCCAGGTATGTGTCTGAAATATATACCTGTATATGGAGTAAATGCACTTTGTCAGTCACTCATCAAGGAACAGGAACAACTGAATAGAGGCTTACAAGGAGGGACTTCAGGTAAGCCTTTGAAATATATACCTATTATATAGTATAGCAACTGAATAGAGTCCTACAAGGAGGGACTTCAGGTAAGCATCTGAAATATATTCTATATGGGAGTACATAAATACCCCTCATTGAACCCCCTTTGAGCTTGGGTAGTTTTGTAATCACGTGTGGAAAAAGTTTCTCAGTTTATGTAAGTAAAATGTGGTAAGCTATAAAAGTTTCTCAGTTTACGTAAGTAAAATGTGGTAAGCTATAACAGGGTCAAACTTAGCAAAGATTCGATAGTTCTTCCTTATGAATATCTCAGTAACTTAAAAAAAACAATTCCTTGCTCAACTTTAATATTATATTTCAGACACAAGTGTACATCAAGGCATGGTGTCTGATCTTGCCAGTACCTACCAGGCTCAACTTGGCCAGCAACAAATGCTACTGAGCCTCAACCAGGTGTATAGCCAGTTACATTCACAACAGGCAGAAATGCAGGCTTTACAATACCAGCTATACAGTGTTTTAGGTATGTTGACAGTTAACTCAATGTACTCAGTCTAAGAATTAATATGACTGTGGCTCGATATGAATGGCTTTTTTTTACCTCATATCAGTTGCACTTAAAACTCAAATAACGTTCCCAAGGTCATTTTTGTATGAATGCATGTAGTGCATCATAGTTTGACTAAAATGGGTACAATTAGGATTAAGCACTTTTTGGCAGATGGCTAAAATTTTGGGTCAAACTTAATGAAAAAGCAAAAGGAAAATCAGTGTTGATGGAAGGTGTGAAAAAGACAATCCACTTCAGTCAGGGATTGAACATCTTCCTAAGCAGGTGTCCAGAATCCGTACCTCCTTCTTCCCCCTTGCTATAACCAATTTGGAAATGCCAGATTAAACTGAATCATGTGATCTTATTATGCGCAATGACTTCTACATGATTTCTGTCGCAGTTTTGTGACAGCCAATCAGATTTACGAGTTCTAAATCGGGGAAATGCTAACTGCTTATCGTAGGGGGTAAAAAGAAATGCTAACTGCTTATCCCAGGGGGTAAAAAGAAAGAATATATTCTGGATTTTGAAGCCCTGTGATCGGAGGTTAGGGATTGAACCGCTGATGAAATATATTTTTAGGCAGGGAAGAAGCTGATGAGGAAGGAGCAGGGGGCGACAGACCTGACTCAAGATATAGAAGACCCGAGTCTGGTATGTCCAGACCTGACTCTGCAGCTTATATGCACCGATATGGCCCTTCGCCAATGCCCTATGGCATGCCCTATGGGGCCCCATCACCTGTCGGGCCATATCTAAGGCCCTCATCTGCATCTGGTGGCTTTAACTTCAACCCTCAGTTCCCTTATGGCTTTCAGACGGGTAAGTTAAATGATAGGTGTTACCACAAAAAAAGAGTTAAAGCTAAGTTCACACCAATGACGCTTTGATGGCGCTTTAATGCAGCGCAAAGCGGCTTTGCATGTCGCATCAAAGCGCCATCAAAGCGCCGTTGGTGTGAATGTAGCTTAATGAAGGAATGTTTTTATGTTACCACCAAGAAATTGAGATCTATTGTTAAAGGCAATTTTATCTGTTAAAATGTTTGGAATCATTGTCTGTAATAATTAGCTACACTTGTTATTGCAAGTAAGGGGTGACATTTTTCTGTAGTTTCTTCAGTACCATTAATTTACATTTAATTCTTACTCCTTTGTTTATTATATGCCTTAGAAGTCCTCTCTGAAGTATTGAATACTGCATGTAAACATAGACCAAAAGCGAACAAATACATTGTACAACATAGAAAAAAATATTATAATTTCGCTTGACCCCTATCCAGGTTTTGTTAAGACAACAATTCTGAGCATGCATACCAAATTTGGTGCTTTCTGAAAAACTAAACTATGGAAACGGAACCCTCCCGTGCTATTATAAATTTTACCTGTTTTCTCATAAAGTGCCATCTTTTACTTGTAACACAGGCAGCCCAGGTTATACTGATGGACGTAGGTCAGCTGGTATACAGACAGATTTCTCCTGGGGAAATTATAAAGATCAGTCTCCCACCACAGGCCCAACCAAGAGACAGCCCACTGAGAGACCTTCACCAACACAGCGGCCAATGAATCAGCCTAACTATGCATTCCAAGCTAAGCTCAATAGGTGGGATTTATTTTGAATATGTATTGCGTTATGTTTGGATACCTGCACTTACAGAAGAATGCTGCTGATTCTATGTGATGAAATATTTCTTATATGAACAAAATTTCATGTAAATGGAGGCCTGTGTTAATTTGTAAAATTAAAAAATTAATTCCTCCTAACTCCTAAGTAATATATGTAATTTGTTTTATTTAAGATCTCCTCTTTATACCGAAAGTAGCAGCCAATATGAAGAACTCCCTCAACAATTGAGTGTTCGTTCAACGGAACGTCTTGTACCCAAGTTAGACCTCGAGGAAATATTTAAATCAAGGCCAAGAAAGTAAGATGCTCTCAAAAATGCTGTTCATTTGTAAAAAATAATTAACATTCTTAAAAGAATCCCCCAAGTCGCACTTGCTTTATTCTGTTACAGGATTTAAGTTTGGATAAACTTATCAGGACATTATTTTACATGTGTGATTGAAGGTTCATTTTTTGATTACTTTTATTTTAGAACCAAAAAATTGGCAACAGGAGATGTATCAGGCTCAGCAAGATCAGATGCTTCTAGTGGTAAGTACATCAACAATAAGCTGTAACTACATGGAGTACATCTATAATAAACTGTAATTCCATGGAGTACATCCACAATAAACTGTAATGACATTGAGTACATCTACAGTAAGCTGTAATTACATGGAGTACATCGACAATAAACTGTAATTACACAGAGTACATCTACCATAAATGGTAATTACATGGAGTACATTTATCTAATCCTGTAACAGCATCAAGTACACTTATGTTATGCTATATATACATGCTACATATCTTCCACATTCAGTAACTACATCAAACAGATTAACATCTTACTGCAACTTCACCAAGTACACTTAACTTTAACTGAAATACACCAATTACACTTAATTTAAACTGAAATACACCAATTACACTTAACTTTAACTGAGAATACACCAATTACACTTACCTATACAGTACCCAAGACTTCAAATAACCTTACCTCTAAATGCAGCTTTATTAAGTACACTTGACCTAAAGCTGAGATTACACCAAGTACACTTACCTCATACCGGAACAACATGGAGTACAAATGAGATTACACCAAGTACACTTACCTCATACCGGAACAACATGGAGTACATCTAACTAATATTGTAACAACATTAAGTACACCAACTTCATACTGTTTTCTAATACAGGAACTACATCACGAACACCTCAATACATGTATACCTGTTTATTTTAGCTGTAGGACAGGGCTATGGCTCGGCCATTGACTCAAGGAAAACAAGATCACGGCCACAGATACCTGATGATATGTATAGGCCAGGTCTGAGTGCGGGGATCAGTGGAACTGCTTTCATGGACAATGCCAGCATGGCCAGTATGGTCAGTCAGTCAAGCGCTCTCTCAAGCATGGCTGATGATCTTGCCGCCATGGCAGCAGCAAAGAAAATGGCTGCCAGAGCCAAGGGAGGCTTTCCAACAGGACAGAATACTGGAGTCAAGTCAACTAGTGAACTGTAAGATTTTAACACATATGTTGATTTATACAATTTGATATGCAATAATGAAACAAAGATATGATTGAAAAATAGACTAGATGCGAGTAGAAATAATCTTGATTTACGTCATTAAATATTCAAAATTCAGTCAAAGTGATGTCATATTTGAAATCTACATGTAAAAGTACATCTAAAAATATGGTTTCGAAAGTTGTTTATCAACTTTGAAATTTTGTTTTTTTTTGAAAATGTGACTTCTTGTTCGGGTTGATTCCCCATAGAGCCCATGTTACAAAATCACAAAAAGTGAAATATTTTTTCTTGTATTGGACAGATAACATTTTCGTTTACTGGACATATTTTAATTTGCATAACTTTTAGATACATAAGGGTTATATGAAAATTGAACCACTAAAACAGATGTAATTTAAGTTAAAGGGAACTTTCTCCTATACTCGCCATGCTATCTGACCCGAACGAGCCACCTGGTGGTGAAACTGGTAACTACCTACTCGCATCTGCGTTATTAGATACTTGATCAACCTGAAAAATACATCAGATTTCAAAGTCACATGTAGTATTTGGATAACTTTAAATTATTGGACATAAGGTAATATTTGATTAACATGGGAAATGGTGAATAATTCAGTAATTGTATTGCAGTTGTGTAATACCCCTATTGTCTGAAAAATATTTGAATCAATTGCTAATTTTATACTAAGGATATGACATGCTGGTTCTCAGTTATGGTAATATGTACACAAACACACTGTTCAGCATAAGGTAGAGAATTGGAATATATTAAGATATTTCACAATCTATCAACGTTTGAGATATGAATACATAATATATTAAATATATCACAAAAAGTGCAATTAATGCTACCTAGTATAATTGGACTCAGCAAATATATTATAAACAGTATAAATATATAAAGGTTCACCATACTCTGGATATGTGTAAGTCAATCGATTTTGGATGACAGTGACATGACATTGTATAATATGAAAATTGTAAGTAAAGTATAGAAGGTTTATAAAACCTGATGAGTTGATTCTTTCTATTTGCAGGGAATCAGAGTCAGCTCAGAGTGACTTCTCATTATTTGAAGCTCTGAGGGAGACTATTTATTCCGAGGTTGCGACTCTAATTTCACAAAACGAATCACGCCCACATTTCTTGATTGAACTTTTCCGTGAACTTCAACTTCTCAACTCTGATTATCTACGCCAGAGGGCACTGTATGCAGTCCAAGATTTGGTGACTCGGTTTTTAACGGAAGAAAGTGTTGCTGGGTCTGTACAAGCTGTAAGTATTCTGTAGTTTAAATGGAAATGTGGTGTATTAAGTGCGTTGTATCATATATAATGCATGATGTTATGCATCTCTGTCCAATGATGATAACAATTATAGTTGATCATAATGAAAAACAAAATTTACACTCTAATTTTTTCACTGAGGACATCGTTCTTGATGCATAACATCAAAACTTATTAATATTTTTTGTCTCCAACTGAAATATTTAAATCTATGCAGATCAATTGCCTGTTCATCAAAGCATCTTTCATTTGATTGAAGTCGGATTGTATTAATAAAGAGGTTAAAATGACACATTTAGGATGACCAGGTGAGACACAACTTAGAAGGATAACACAATCGTAAAAATGATTTAGGAATACATATTCATAAACTATATCACATTTCAAAGGAATTCAAGCAATCCTTGAAGATGCAACTTTGTGCATACTGTGTGGTAGGGAGTGACATAGGACATGCTTGTCTGATATTTAATACTCAAACGTGTAATTCTTGAATTTGAAGATTACCTCTGTAACTTTGTGCCCAGTAATTGGTAGAGTAAAATTGGAAATACTTAAAACTAAAGTGTATACGATATTTCAAGGTTATTCTTGAAGTTGAAGATTGCCTCTGTAACTTTGTGCCCAATAATTGGTAGGGAGTAAAATTGGAAATACTTAAAGCTCAAGCGTATAAAATATTTCAAAGTAATTCTTGAGTTTGAAGATTACCTCTGTAACTTTGTGTCTAATAGGTGGTAGGGAGTGACATTGGAAATACTTAAAGCTCAAGCGTATATAATATTTCAAAGTAATTCTTGAATTTGAAGATTACCTCTGTAACTTTGTGCCACATAGGAAGGGAGTGGAATAGGAAATACTTCGCTCAAGCGTATTTAATATTTCAAAGTAATTCTTGAATTTGAAGATTACCTCTGTAACTTTGTGCCACATAGGAAGGGAGTGAAATTGGAAATACTTAGCTCAAGCGTATATAATATTTCAAAGTAATTCTTGAGTTTGAAGATTACCTCTGTAACTTTGTGTCTAATAGGTGGTAGGGAGTGACATTGGAAATACTTAAAGCTCAAGCGTATATAATATTTCAAAGTAATTCTTGAATTTGAAGATTACCTCTGTAACTTTGTGCCACATAGGAAGGGAGTGAAATTGGAAATACTTAGCTCAAGCGTATATAATATTTCAAAGTAATTCTTGAATTTGAAGATTACCTCTGTAACTTTGTGCCACATAGGAAGGGAGTGGAATAGGAAATACTTCGCTCAAGCGTATTTAATATTTCAAAGTAATTCTTGAAGTTGAAGATTACCTCAGTAACTTTGTGTCTAATAGGTGGTAAGGAGTAAAATTGGAAATACTAAAAGCTCAAGTGTATATATTATTCCATAGTAATTCTTGAATTTGAAGATTGCCTCTGTAACTTTGTGCCACATAGGAAGGGAGTGAAATAGGAAATACTTAGCTCAAGCGAATATAATATTTCAAAGTAATTCTTGAAGTTGAAGATTACCTCTGTAACTTTGTGTCTAATAGGTGGTAGGGAGTGAGATTGGAAATGACACTGACCCCTGGAATACAACATTCAATTCCACCTTAAATACAACATGGAGCTCTAGCCTAAATGCAACATATGGATCTCTATTCGCTCCTGAAACAGTAAGATCTGACTGTGAAAATCTTGGTGGCTTTAACCATTAACAAATGTGTGAACACTGGGAATAGGTTCTCTTTGTTTGTGATAAAAACTGACATCAGATCAGATTACAGTAAACAATTGTAGACCTCTCTTTAGGTCAACTGGCAAAATTGTGTACTGATACTGTAAACCTTGAGAGTACTGTTGACCGAGACTGGAGGTTGAGGTCATCAGTACTCAGTTAAGGTTTACTGTTGAGGTGTACACTTTTGCCAGTTGGTTGAATAGAGAGGTTAACAATTGTTTTGTTAGTCCAAAGAATATGATAATTGGAAGGATATAACTTATTTTTATTAAAAAACATTTTTTTCAAAAGTAGCAGTCTACAGTACCTAGTGGCGGTCAACAGTATACAATTGTTGACCTCTTCAGAGGTCAACCGGCAAAATTGTATACCGAGACTGTAAACAGAGAAACTGCTGTAGACAGAGACCGAAGGTCGAGGTCAACAGTAGTTTCAAGGTGTACAGTCGAGGTATATGATTTTGACGGTTGACCGAATGGAGAGGTCTACAATTGTTTTGTTAGTCAGAAGAAACTAATAATACACATATAGACGACGGTCATCAATCATGGCTTCATTTCACAATCTTTTCTCCGAACCACGCCAGCAATAATTTTGTAAGAAAATCTGAAGACAGCGGTAGCTCTAAAACTCTCTGTTTTCGGCACATCACTGCGTACTCACTAGTCAATTGATGTTAATTTTACGTTTCTATTTGTATTTTTGCAATACTTGTCGCCTAGCAAAGTCAAAATATCACTTTCATCAACGTTTACAAAATGTCCGTCTCCCATGTTTTTTTCTGTAAATATTATGACGTCATATTTCCCATAGTTCACAAGTGTAGTACAGTAACATACGCGGTCAATAATATGATATCCCATGATGCACAGGTGGGGTACAGGCAAAAATGTTGACTGCTAATTGACCAATCAGATGCGAGTATTTACACTGAGGTACTAACAATACATATTGTTGACCACTCATCAACCAATCAGAATTGAGTATTTCAATTGAGGTACTAACAATAAAGCCTGTGTGTGTGTGGAATGCCTGTGGCACCACAAGATTGTCTTGCACTTGTGTGCACAACATGATGCCACTATTGGTCATGGTCTATTCCACTTGTGAAGTTTTCCACTTACAAAGGTGTTCCACCTGACTGATTTTACGGTGGTATGTAGTAAAACTAATGAATGTGTCTAATGTCTCTTTCTATTATTTGAATGAACTTTTTACTCACATCTTGATTTTGAATTTTTTCTTCTTATTTTGTTGTGGTGGTCTCAAAAGGGACATTGAAACATTTCGATATTATTTAAAATGGTTTTGCAGTGGTTTTGGTTTTACATATTACGAGGGTTGTCCCAGAAGTAATGCACTATATGGTCTAACTTTCTTTAATATTCTTCAATTCAGCTGAAATTGTGTGTATACAACAATTGAAGTTTTATCTATTATATCCTGAAGTTTCAGCATCCAACATTAATATTTAGTCTTAATATGGTTGCTATAACAACATGGGGGTAGGGGTGGGCGGGGCAGGTACCAATTTTTCTAATTATAAAAGGATCTAAATTGTTATTTTATTAATATTTCTTTCCTTTAAATGGTCAAAATGTTTGGGAAATTGTTAAATTTATTCAGTATGATGTTAACCAAGTACGAATAATGACATTTAGCACTGTGATGGCATAATACCACATTTCAATAGTCACGAATTCAAGTACAGTCACAGTCAAGAAATTGCAAAAATGGCAGCAATTCTCACCTGATAACAGAAGGCCTTGCATTTTGTGGCCTAATTTCATACTTCACTTGGACTCACAGCCAAGCATAACAATGCTACCATGAAGAAAGTATATAAGGAGTATATACCAGATAGAACTATAAGTATGGGGTGGCAGAAGAGATTTAAAAGAGACGATTTGACCCTGTATGACAACTCCAAACATGGGAGGCAAAAACTCCACAAGTCACAGTGGAAGAAATTGCCGAGAGTGTTTGATCTGACAGGCATCAAAAGTGCATAACATGCAAAGAGCAATATTTTGAGAAAATGTGAAATGGGACACTGTGCAATATACATCCATCAAATCTAGGATGTGCACATGATAATTGAGTATCTTAAAATGTATTTTTGAGCATACATTTTATAGCTACACTAAATGGTATATGCTGATTAATTATTTCATATTTTCAATTTTTCATTCCTTTTGACGTGACTGTATAACCTGCCCCGCCCTACCCAAACTCACCAACTTGATCTTATTATAACATCAATATAGTTTTACCAGTCAACATGAAATTTTTTAGAATAATCAAAATGTCTCTCAGGAACATTTACTGAAAATTTCATGGGAAAATATCAATTATTGATAAAGTTAGAGCATATAGTGCATTACTTCTGGGACAACCCTCGTAGTATTAAATAAAAATCAAATTTAACCGATTGCCATTGATAATACTAGCTTTGTATCTATCTGATAGACACACCAAACTAAATATAGACACACCAAACTAAATAAGCAGTATATCCCCGTTTACTGGGTTCGATTCCATTTAAATGACTCCAGTATCAATTCTTGAATTTTCAAAATAGTTACAGGATCAACACCTAGATGTTGTGACACATTGTTATTACAAATATATTTCATGACAAGTGGGACCAGTAGTTTGTGTCTGTAACAATTGTTACAATTTTGTTACAATTTACAGCTGTTGCAATTGTGTAATGTTACACCTAATCCATGTATTGTATCAACATTGTAATGTATATGTATTATAATGTATGTATTACAATGTATTTATTTGTAGCCTCCCCCAAGATATGTATATCTCCCTCTGGATAAACCCCATATCCAAAACCTCCCAGTACATAACCCTTATGTATGTATTTGTAGCCTCCCCCAAGGTGGCTAGTAACTAGCAACAGACGTGAGACAAATGGAGATATGACCCCAAGTGAAAGTCTCGTCACCACAGATGAAGAGGAAGTCAGGGTATGGTACAGATTGACTCTTATGGCCAAATGAAATTGTAATCTTGAAGTGAAATATCTCTGAGGTGTGGCACCTCCTATTGATTCAAAACACTGAACTCCACTTATAGTTTAATGTGAATCCTAAAATGTTATTCCAAGAATAATGAAAGTATGAAAATGGTGCACTAAAAAAATACAAAGTTCTAAAATTGAAACATGCTAAACTAGAACAAAATCTTAGGAACAAAGATACTCTCGGAGAAGCTTGAAGATACAAGACCAGACTTGTGCCAACATCTGATTAGGTCTTGGGCATGCTGGTTAATTAAGTGGTGGCCATTTTGAATTTCAAAGTGCAATATTTTATCAATGCGTGTCATTTTCAGGCTCGTATGCTGTACACTTTGAACGCTAGGGATGTCTCCAAGAGTGAGCAGTTAGCCTCACAACAGGGTTTCAAAGTGCAATATATATCAATGCATGTCTTGTTATTTTCAGTCTCGTATGCTGTACACTTTGAATGCTGGAAATGTCTCCAAGAGTGAGCAGTTAGCCTCACAACAGGGTTTTAAAGTGCAATATATATCAATGCATGTTTTGTTATTTTCAGGCTCGTATGCTGTACACTTTGAATGCTGGAAATGTCTCCAAGAGTGAGCAGTTAGCCTCACAACAGGGTTTCAAAGCGCAATATATATCAATGCGTGTCTTGTTATTTTCAGGCTCGTATGCTGTACACTTTGAATGCTGGGAATGTCTCCAAGAGTGAGCAGTCAGCCTCACAATAGGGTTTTAAAGTGCAATATATATCAATGCATGTTTTGTTATTTTCAGGATCGTATGCTGTACACTTTGAATGCTGGGAATGTCTCCAAGAGTGAGCAGTCAGCCTCACAACAGGGTTTCAAAGTGCAATATATATCAATGCGTGTCTTGTTATTTTCAGGCTCGTATGCTGTACACTTTGAATGCTGGGAATGTCTCCAAGAGTGAGCAGTCAGCCTCACAACAGGGTTCAGTGAGGAGTGACAAGTTTGATTATGCAGAGAATGTAGAAACTACAAGCTCCCTGTCTACTCCCCCCTCCACAGGATATTGGGAGTCTGGTGGCTTCAGTCAGGATCTGGGAGACACTGTCATACACCTAGACAAGGTAAACCTTTTTTTTTAGAATAGGGATATCGTGAAATTTCATTTAGTGACTACATTATGCCACAAGTAAATTTACAAGTAATCAACTCATTTTTTTAAGTTCGAGGTAGTTTTTTGAGAAGCTGTATCAAGAAAATATGTGTGTGTTTAAGGGTGTGAAATCAAGATTTCAGACAAGGAGAATTCATGTTAAAATTAGGTTTTGTTAAATTCTAGGCTTTGTCGAGGATGAGGGAGTATGAGAGGCAGAAGGACCAGTCAGCAAGTCCAGCCAACGCTAGGGAGAAGAAAGAGTCCATTTCTGTAGCAAGTAGTTCAGCACAGGACCAGGGAAGTGAGAGCTCTGTATCTGATATGGCTGTGAGTATTTTTTATTGTTTCATTTTTGAAACTGCTATATTGTGCTTCCTTGGGGGTGTTGGGGGTTGGGATTAACCCTTAAATGGTAAGGCTAACGAGAATTACACCAAGGGTTAGGGGGCAGATCTGCCAGATAATTTCAGATCAAAAGATAAACTACGAAAAAATATATCCAAAAATTTCTTGGGGGGGGGGCAGCCCAACATTTATGGATTAATAGTGGTCATAAAACTTCTCATTAAAAATCAATTTAAATTTTCTATTGTCTGCTACCCCCAAATGCACCCCCAAAATGCAATCTGATTTTTGACGCCGTTTTGGTACCAAATTTCGGTGCCGTTTCGGCACCAAATGGACTGACTAGTCCGGTAACAAATTTTTGTGTCAAAAGGTTTCGGTGCCGGAACGGTGCGGGAACAGCGCCAAATTTTTTTGATGCCGAAACTGCGCCGAATTATATTGGCTGTGTAATATAATTCCTGGAGTTATTACAACCCAAATTCTTACTTCTCATATTCCAGTATCCACGCATTGACACCCAACAGTTGGACCATCAGATCAAGGCCATTATGACTGAGGTGATTCCAATTCTCAAAGAACAGATGGACAATGTGTGTTCATCTCAACTTCTCAGCTATATCAAACGTATGGTTCTACAGTTGACGAAACAGAAGAATGACGAACAAGAATTTGTAAGATTCTTCCATAAGCAGCTTGGCTCGATATTGCAAGATTCACTTGCCAAGTTTGAAGGAAGAAAGTGAGTATTATTGTTTGTATAAGGAGTAATTTCCTCAAACATGTCTCTTTTCCATTTATCCTATCTAGTGTGTAATAGTTGTACCTTGTACAATATTGTTTCAAATGGCCATGTGCTTTCTGCTTAGTGACCTATACGAGGGGTGATCAATAAGTAATAAAGCGTCCATTACTTATTGATCATCCCCTCGTATTAATTGATGCAAGAGTAGATTGCTAAGATGTAATTATATTGTAATTTAAATTCACTTAAAGCGGCAGTAAAAATGCCCTTTCTGGGCGATTACGCCTTGATTAATAATTTTAATTTATTTATGATTTTAAGAAATAAAGAGTATTTATTATTAAAAAATAAATAAAAAAAGTGCTAAGATCTGATTAGGACTTGGGCATGCTGTATTCACTTGCTTTTTGAAATTTTCAATAAAAAGTGTAATATTTATCCCTGTGCGTCTTGTTTTTTTAGGATGCGAGAATGTGGTGAAGATCTGCTCGTAGAAATGTCAGAGATTCTCTTTAATGAACTGGCTTTCTTCCGGCTCATGCAAGACTTAGATGAACCTGGAAAACAGGTGAAGAAGAAGCTGAGAGATTGGAGCAAGGTAAGTGCTTTTAAAGAACATTATCCTGAAATGTGATTGGTTAATCTTGGTCATGTGACAAATACATGGTTGCTGGGACATCACCTCCTTTGATTCATTGAAAGAGAAATATTGCTGAAAGTGTTCTTTACCATCACTCTACTATACCGGACACCTAGAAATGCATAAGATACTTTGTTTGTCTTATTGTATTGTTTAGTATATTTTTGAAAGTGCCTTAGTAACATCTAACATTCAACCGATAAACCATTGATAAGGAACAAACAAATCAAAACAAATACACAATCATTACCAAATGGGTTACACCAAATGCAAGGTATAGTAGAGTGATCATGACCAACCGAGATTACTATCCCCCTCTAAATTGTTTCCAGGGTCCATATTACAACTATTTTTCATACATTTTTAAATCTAATTGCCGCATTTGGTTACGCATGTTACTTTACACACTTTGGCTTTTGAAGTGAAATTACACTCTCATAAAGATTTTCATTATTACTTCTACATAACTCTACCATCAACATCATGTTTGCTCTTTCTGTTGTACTTCATAATTTACAAAATATTTCAAATTATTCAAAGGAATCCCAGACATCAACTGAGACTGCTGCCACTGGTGATACTCAAGGAGACACTACTCAAGGCGATGAAGAAACTACTCAAGGTGAAGAGGAGACAACTCAAGGTGAAGAGGAGACAACTCAAAGTAGTGAAAGTGAAGAGTCTGAGAGTGAAGATGATGAGACGAGAGAACCAACTATAAAAGCTTCTCTTACTGAAGAAGAAGAGCTTGGCAAGGTTTGTATGCAAAATTATATGTGCAGTTTTCTCCCCAGGATTTTTCTCAAGCGGGTACAAAGTTCTCATTCTTACAGTTCAGTCCAAAATTGATCAAAATATGTCCATTTTACATGATTTTTCTCATTTTCAAATGGGCACGAATGAAATCTCAGGTGGGTGCAAGCCTGTTTTTAAAATCTCAGGTGGGTGCTGCGTCCACTTGCTTTAATGCTGGTGGGAGCATTGATGTATATATATCTTGTATACCTGAATTGGACAAGCTGTTGATGATGAGAATCTGAGATCTGAGATAAGGAAATGAATTATTGGAAAATATATCTAGAATGATGAATTATAAACATGAATTTTCAAGGAATGGGTTTGAGATTTTTCTTTTAGTTTTCAAGGATCAAGTCAAGTGCTGACACCATGTATTATTTGAATTGTGAACTCAATACATCGATCTATATTTTATTGCAGGCCAGAGATGATGAAATGGCCAACAAGGTGGACATCAATGACAGCCACTATAGTCAGGGACAGAACAGAAGAATTGAACTAGCAGTCAGTGAGACAAAGCCCTTCACTAGGTAAGCATACTTTAATCAATGTATTTTAGGTTATCAGTAATAAAAAATATTAAATTTCAGAATTATGGAACACATTTGTGGCTGTTGTTTGTCAGTTGGTGTTTGGTGTCTGTTGTTTGTCAGTTGGTGTTTGGTGTCTGTTATTTGTCAGTTGGTGTTTGGTGTCTGTAACAGCGTTCGGCAGTCAGAGTTTGTAACAAATGGCAGGTGGTGTTAATGCCTTGTGTAGAAGTGAAACAATACTAAAAACACCAAAATTAAAAATCTGAAGTTTGTGGAAAAAATTAAATAAACTTACAAAATAAACACATAGAACCAATCCTCTCTTTGTAGAGGCCGTGTCAAATAAAAATAAAAATTCAGAAAAATTAAAAAAATTTCCAGCATTGGAAGTGATGAGGAAGAAGATGAAGAGGAAAATGAAATGAGTGCCGAGGACCCCTCGACAGCTGTATCAAGACAGCCAGAGAATGATGAAGGATCAACCAAAGATGATGTTGCTGCTAAGGAGCCCTCAGAGCAACCTCAAGTTAATGGAAAGGTAATAACCTTTAAAATTTGTCATTACGTTTATCTTTCATAGATGAGAACTATATCAAAGGAAAACAGTTTGTATGAAGTTGAGTTGGCAGAGTCAATAAAATTGCATGATTAATACTAAAATCAATTGATAAATTAGTTAATGCATTTTTTCAAAAGTTTTCTAATTTTTCATTTTCAGGTTGAAAATGAAATCACTGTTGATGACATTCCTGTTGCACTGAACGTAGATCAAGTAAGACTATCCTCTTTATTGCTAAACATTCACTCTCAAATATAGTTAAAGATGCATGCAGAACAGTGAGATTTGACATTCAAAAATGATGTTTCTACAACCAAATGAGATCTTTGAAATAGAGTAGAATGTAGCATTGTTGTGTCATTTATAATACATTATGTCCCTTGTCCCTTTTGTCTCATTTATAATACATTATGTCCCTTGAAATATAAAATATTTAGTAGAATAGTTTTGCTGGAATGCTCATTTGAAGAGATTATCAGTTATGCATTTGCTCCCCCGTGTCATCTTTTCATTCATTAGAGTATGTAGATCATGTGCATGTTTACATCAGTGCCATCTTTTCCAGATTAAGATAGAAAACAAAATGGCGGAGGAAGATTCAGAGAACCCAAACCCTGCGCAGATTATTCTCACAACCATGGAGCCTGGCCTAGAGCTAGCTGGAGACCCACAAGCCATCAAGGAACCAGGTGAGATAATTGATGCTGAATAAATTAATCTGATTGGTTAAGAAGTATCATGTGATAATTGGAGAGCATCATGGGGTATTTCATTGTTGATTTTATGTATTACAGTTTGGAACATAAATAAATGACAGGTGGATTTGCTGAAGTGAGGATTTCCCATGTTAAAATTAAGAGAATTTTCAAGAGGCCATACATCAGTGGATGAGATTATACAAAATGTAAAATATACAAATTTTAAGGGATATGTATCTAGACAATATTGGAAATTATGGGCTTTCAGACGACCATGATTAAGAAATGGTGATAGAAAATCGACCTGTCATTTATTTTTGTTCCCAACTGTAGGTAGGCTGGACTTAAGAATATTTTGAGAAGCTGACTAATAATCCATCTTACTTTTCTAATTTAGTTGATTTTGAGCAGTTTTTATATCTTTTATTTGTTGCAAATACTAATTGTACTGATTTGTAATCACATTTTGCTGATTTGTAATCATATTTTGCTGATTTGTATTCACATTTTGTAGTTTTGTATTCACATTTTGTAGTTTTGTTTTCACATTTTACTGATTTGTATTCACATATTGCTTATTTGTATTCACATATTGCTTATTTGTATTCACATATTGCTGATTTGTATTCACATAATGCCAAGTTGTACTATTTGCTATGTTGCTTAGTGAAACAGAATGTCTTGACTTAGACTACTAACACTATATGTCTGTACTGTAAGGGGTGTTCAAAAAGTTATGAATATCAATTCTTTGGTATAAAATCAAGCAATACCACCAGAAGAGATGACAGTTGGTGTCTGTTGTCTGTAAGAAATGGCAGGTGGTGACCTTATGCAGTTAAATGCCCTGTTCTACTTTACTTGAGAAAATTCTCAGTTAAAAAATATTCAAACAAATTGGCCCCTTTTTGAAGTTTTTGAACACTCTTTTTAAACTGTATATGTTTTTACAATTAGTTAACGATTATGTACTACTAACTTGTAGTTAGTGAGGCTGAATTAGTTAAAGAGGAAGTGATTGAAGAACCAATCACTATCACTGAAGGTTCTGCCACAGGAGGTACTGGAAACCCACAATTCACTGCAGAACTAAATAATGTTAAACAAGGTACTAATTTAGTGTATGGTATTATCAATTTCAGTGATCCCCCAGAATTCTTTCAGCTTGGTCTTGATGTCTTAATTTTATCTATTTTTGGTCAAAATTTCTCAATATCTCAAGAGTTTGGAAGGGTGCAAACAAACTTTTCGACAGAGTGGCATGTTATTTTCAGATTAAGAACAGGGTGATGCACTAATGTTGGGGAGGTCACTGTAATAAAAGATGGCGCAACCAATTACTTATTCAATGCCTGAGTCACCTTTGCTCAGACTCATTACCCGGCGCCCGGCCGATGGACTATTTTGTTCATAACTGATTGGGCGTTGGGCAGTGAATTGGAGCAAATGTGACCCAGGCATGACCTACTATTCATTAATCCTATACTCTAATATGTGACTTGTTATGTTACGTGTTATAACCATGGTTACCTAATTACACATGCACAATGTTTATAAAATTGCTATAACAACACTCCTCTTCCCAAAAATTGATTAGATTCTCAGTTTTTGATTTATTTTATGGTAGACTCGCAGTTTATTTTGTTAGGCAGGGCTAAAAGAAATTGGCGATATTTCGTGAGTAGAGGAATACGCTCTCTCTTATGTTAGGTTAGGAATAAGGACATACATGTATACGTTTTATTAATATATTAACATTTAATTGCACATATATTAGTATACAGGGTGTCCCAAAAAAAAGGAAACCAGCAATAGATTGCTTATTCCTCAAATATGAATAATGATAGGAAAATTTCACAGCTACCATCTGATAGATTGATACCAAAGTTGTCTATTTTCCTTCACGGATGACTGAGTTATAAGGGATTTAAGTGACCATGTCAGAAATGAGTTTGTACCACTTTCAGCCAAGTCAATTTCACCATCATAACAAAGTGATAAGTAACAACAAACATCAGGATATCACTCTTTTACTCATTAATTCCAATTAAAATTACACATATCATATTTGATTCCCCTTTTAAATCCCAATGTCCATTCAAAGTTGTTTTAACCCCAGTGTCCTTCAACATGACCCCCATTCCTTTCAATGCAAATGTCTGCCCTTGATCTCATCGCACATACTGCATCCCTGATGATGTCTCTCTGTCCCCTTAGATCCTCCACTGCTGTGACAATCCTGGCCCTTAGATCATCAACGTCTCTTGGTGATGTTGTGTAGACTTTATCCTTGAAGAAATACCCCCAAATAACCATCCTGGCATAGCCATTTTAATCCCTCATTGTTCAGCCATTCATGACAGAAAAAGTGGCACAAACCAATTTCTGACATGGTCACTTATATCTCTTAGAACTCAGTCATCCGTGAAGAAAAATAAACACCTTTGGTATCATAAGAAAAGGGACATCATAACCTATTAGATGGTAGCTGTGAAATTTTCCTATTATTATTTATATTTGAGATATAAGCAATCTATTGCTGGTTTCCTTTTTTTTGGGACACACTGTATAAGCGTAATATATATGTGTATACAATGCTCTCCCAACATTGAAATTTCTGAGGCAGAGCAAATCTAAGCTCTACACAAAACGTTCTAGGGAATTACTGATAAGATATTAACATAAATACTATTCAAATAAATCGTAACACATTGGATACAGTATGAAGGCACTTTAATATAATATTGTATAATTAATTAGTTAATTGAATAATTTAAATCAAGAAAATCAATCTGGGTATCAGTCATCAATTTAATTCTGTTCTTTCACAAATGGTCTTGAAGCAAATAAATAGTACACTGTGTATTTTATTTGATAATTTATCATTACTGTTTTACATATAGAAATCATGACATATTGTTCAGTCTCCAACTAGTCTATGGCCGGTGTTTGGTGTTCGTTGTCTATAACATTGTTTGGCATAAGTACCAGTGTTCGGCATCTGTAACAGCATTCTGCTGTTGTAACAAATAGCAGGTTGTGATATTTTGCATGTTAATGCCTTGTTTAGTCCTTGACTGAGATTGTGTAAAATTGATATACAGACTTTAGTGTTACAGTTCAAATTACTACCACTCTTTTAAAAATGAATGATGATGCTTATATATGACTACATTGTTATGAATTATGTCGATCATAAAGTTTCATTGAATTTGTAAATTTTAATTTGCTATTAATCAAGCAAAAATATTCACACATGTTTGTTTTATTCATTCCAGAAGCTGAGCAAGCATTAGCAGATGGTGCAGGTGACTCTACTAGCAAAAGTGAGACTGAGGTGTGAATAGTGTAAAAACATTTATATAATAATAATAATATAAAAGAATATGTGAGAGAATACACAAGTTGGAGTGATGAGTGACAGTGAAACCTGATAATTGGAACATCTCTATAAGTCCAACACCTTTGTAAGTTCAACACTTCATTGCCCTGTGAGACATTGGCACACTGTTAAAGATATTCAACCTTTTAAGCTCTTCATTAATAATTATGCGCATATATTAAGCAAATATGATGCTGCCCTCTATTGAGTAATCTCTTCATCAGAATCTAAAACACCTGACATAACAAAAGGAATAATGAAACAAAAGTTGAACACACGGGAGACACAATGATGCCATCTACTGGTGAAACAGTAGACTAAACCAGATACAATGCCATCTATTGAGAAGTCAGCTGAAGTCAGCACAATAATATAGATGAAAAAATGAAACCACTCATTCGCCATATGCTGTCTTCAAAATCTTAAAAATGAATTGATGAGTCATGGTTCGCAATTAGTCCTATGAACAGGGAGATATGCTGATTACTCGATTAGTACAAAATTAGTACTGAATTAGCACTCTGGCAAAAGTGCACTCATGAGCACTCATGTCACGAGTGCTAATTTAGCACTAATTCATGATATTCATACTCATTTAGTGCTGAAAAATCAATCTTAGTACTAATATTTACTGAAATGAGTACTCAGTTAGCGTTAAAATGCCATGAGTACTATTTTAGTACTCGGCATATCTCCCTGTGTACTCCTAAGAATTTAGTTAATTTTTTGTATAGTAAAAACCTGTCGGTGTAAAGTTCTGTAGCCAACTCACTTTCAGACACAAACTTACATACAATTAAGCTATGAACCTATTACAACATAGCTTGTATTTGCATATATGTGAACATGAATTGTTTTCAGCATGGTTGTGAATGTGATAAAACAAATGTATATAACCTGTAAATGTACAGCATTAATCTGATTTACAATTGTGTGTGAATACAAGTCCTTACAATGATTTATAGTGTAAATACAGTCTTCACAGACAAAGCAAACATTTATGTAGTTTTATGATTATTTCTAGATCTCATTGTAAGTGAGGGGTAGCGTGAATCTTCAATTTGCGAGGTAAATTAGAGTTAAAGGGATAAAATACAATAAAACCTGTCAAGGTGAACACCTCTCTCTTGTGAACACATTTCTAAAGGGAATACCACTTCAAGACACAACTTACATTAAGTCCTGTATAAAATCCACTCTCTGAAGTGTACACCTACCTTCAGTGAACACTTTTTTGTGTATCCATACACAGCAAATCTCAAACTACTGTACAGTGCTGTTTTCCCAAACAGTACTGTCCATCGCTGTTCAAAACAGCGCTGCAAGATTATGATGCAGATAGATGGAGGTGGAGGTGTTCACTATAAGCAGGTTTTACTGTACTTTCATTGGACCTTATTTCAAAGAAAAAAACATGTTTTCTGCAAAATTAAGGTGAGGCAAATGCCTCGCTTGCCTCATGTCTGGCTCAGCCTCTTTTAAAGCTTTATATTCTTACTGTACGTTGACTTTGCATGAGTTTACATTTAATATGTTTGTCCAGTCTATAACAGCATTTTTCACTTCCAAGTTGTGGATTAAATTATTTTAGCTTCACATTTTCTCTGGAGAGTTTTGTAAATATCTCACAGAGATGAATATAGAAATGAAATAATTGTATGATAATTGTAAGTGTATGATGAACATGTTCTGTGTAGTTGGATTTTTTCTCTACAATTTTTACATTGAAGAAAAATAACATCATAGACAATCGCATATAACTATTAACAATTATGATAATGACCGTCCTTGTTTTATAATCTGTATTTTGATTTTCTCGATGATATGATATACATGTAATATCTAGTTGAACAAATAAGAATTAAAAGTAGCATTAAAAAATAAGTTTTTGCACCTACTACATTAAAATGCCAATGTTTCTGCATAACATTTTATTTTATGATATTCATTTCAATTATCAATATAATATATTTATTTTTCACAATTAAAACACATTTTTATTAAAAGAAACTGCAGAAACGGGTTATAATTAGGTTAACACACTCCCCTCCATATATTTGGAAATCATAACGAACTTATTGAGGGGAGAGTAGTTGTCAAATATCGATTAGATACCTTGTTTTTATTGAATATATCTGATTTATTTGTGTATGGTAATTATGTACATACAACACCAGAGTTATCAAATAAATGTGTTATAAAATGAAAAATGTGTGTTTTTATTACAAGAAGTTTGACGAATGAGTAAAATCACTTGTATCCAGTAATTAAGAATAGTAAAATCAGTCCATGTACAAGAGGAAATAAAGTCTAGTATATGTGACACTTTATCTGTCGCACCCTTTTACGCCGATATTTTCAGAACATGTTAACCCCCCATCATCCCCTTCACTTCCAACCTGTCTTAACCTGAGCCTGTCGCGGGGACGGGTACCTGTGAGAAGTTTGATGACCCTAACAGGTTAAATGCCTAAAGGAGATATACAAGTTCTTATATATAGATGTCACACGTTTAATCCATCGAATAAAATAAAAAGTTTAGTTTTATAAGACGATAAAAAAACGTTGATAAATTGGACATACTTGTAATGCTCATTTTGCTATTATATCGTCAAATGGTGCTCCGACCATAGAGGTTATTTATAGAGAAAATATGTATATTTCTTCAAGCACGAGCATGTCTAATGTACAAATATTTCCCGAGGGAGAAGCCCGGGTGCATTATCAGAATATATTAAATTCATACTATATGAATGAATGCTTTTTTGTAGAATCATAAATGTTTTTTTATTATACTGTTGAATTCATTATTAGACAACAATCCAAATGTTTAATTCATTTAAAAGTCAGGGACATCGAAGCTTATTTGGCAGCACTTATAGACTATCGATTGGTAGTTGTACGTGTTTGGGTCCTGTCTCTGTAGTCTCCAAGATACAAGAAACTCGTCTGTGCCATCACAATTCACGTGGTGTCTGTCCAAGTTCTGTAACGATTGACCTTCAACAAGTCTCGCTGGTCCAACAACAGTCCGACAATTTGTATGATGTGCTCTCTGAAATGATAAAAGTAGCCAGTCTTACTATCCCATAGTCTAAGAGGGAGAATAACCTATATGATATTAGAAGAGGAAGGAAAAGGTTAACCCCTCCCTTCAGATCAGCCGACTGAAAGCAGGTCACATTTAGGAAAATGTATATCTTAATATAAAGTTGAACGTTGAACTTGTATCTTATAATATTGGTCTATGAATAACGCCAACCACGTCTCATTTTCGTCGCTGATTATAATTAGTTGAAACTGAGGTTGAAAAATATTGATAACGTCTCAAACAAAAACATTGAAATTGTGTATTGTAAGTTTCTGACCAGTAAGCAATATTTTGTTATGCCAAATAGGGATGTTTCAGCTATTCGGAATCTGAAAGTGAGCTTTACAGGGAAAGTGAAAGTCGGATTTCAGGGGTCATGTCATAAGGGTTTAGAAAGAAACAACAATTTATTTCCAAAATTTATTTCAGAATTTTATCCGTTTGTACACTCCACTAGTTACTCTCAATAATCAGGTAAACAAATACATATTTATTTATCTAGACTCAATTATTATCAAGAGAATTATAAACAATAATGAATACATACTGTAACAAATTATTTTTTTTCCAAAATTTTATGGTCTTAGTATTTGGAGGTTTTCAGCACTTTATCAGCAATCTCCCCGGTTATAGTTGAGCTTGCTAGTTATACACATATTTGGGCAATTATTTTTATTCCTACTTGGTCTAACAATTGTGTATGTGAATTGTTTACCATGTTTAACTGGCTACTTCCGGTCATTTCGTATATTTTCAATATAATTAGTGTTTTCGTTTCACGTTTGGGTAGTTGAAATCCAGTAACCACCACCAACGTTTTTAGTGCGGCATTTTGAATCGTCCCCTCATATCGTTCCAATACAGGTTAGTTTGCCTTTATTTCTATATAGTTTTGATAGATTAGTATAACTAACGATCTCAAGTTTTGATTGAGTAACTTTGGAATAGAATTAGCGTATACTTTTCGAGATATATAGAGATCAAGTTGAGAATTGCGGCGCTAGGCCATTTTGGAATTCAAATCAAGAAATCTCCTATGGCAGCGTATACCGCTACACTAGCCGTATAGTATTTCCAGTTTGTTTGTCATCTGATACGTCTGCAGTAGGAGTCTTGGAAGAGTGTAACTACTTAATATTGATAAGGCATAAACATGAGTACTTAACTGTTAAAATGTCTAATGGTCAAAACATTGAAAAGTCTTATGTTAATTAAATGTAAAGCTGTGTAGAATGCTCAATTTCTAGTCACTAGTACCCCGCACGAGTTTTTGATAATAACTTTGACCAGTGATTTTAACATTCTACCCTAAACTATGTGTTATTAAATTTAGCACACAGATAAACTAGAGGCAATTTCCAACATAGGAAATTTTTGTTTTCATTTTACTTCAATAGCAATAACAATAGAAACCCACGCAACTGAACCAATGGTGTCATTAATGCTTTTAACCAATTTGACGTCATAAAATCAAAATTGATTTAAACAATTTTATTTACTTATCACTTATTTGAACAATAACACTCTGTTTAAAATAGATCTTTATGGTATTTCTGAATAGTCTATCGGTAGTCTGTCTATAAGAACGGTCCATCGACAAAGCTTTATTTTGGGAATATACTTGCGCTTGATATCTAGTTGCCCAGGTGTTGTCATGGTTGAATCATAAATGCACTACAGTTTTAACATCATATTCATTGAAACAATATAGCAATTTTGGTAGAATGGTCAAATCACGGGTTAAAGTTATTATCAAAAACTTGTGTGGGGTACTATAATGCTGACCCTACTGTGCACTCAAACCATATGTGCAGTATTTGTAAAATATCAAAAATTACAACCGAAAGGATATAAATTCACAAAAAGAGTTTGCAAAGTTTACTATCTTGTATCATCTAATCAACCTCTTCTAAATCAATCTACTGAAATATTTGTCACTCAAAATAGATTAAAAAATGTTGAAAATATTTGAGATAGCAGCATTCTTCCACAGTACACTACATTGAAAATCATTGATAGATCCAAGACCAGATGGATTCGATAAATAATATTAATGATAAAGTTTGCTACATTTAGAATGTAAAGGGTAATGTATTCTCTTAAAAGCAGTTTGGTTTCTTCTATTACTGTAAACTCTTTGTATTAGCGTATAGTAATGTTTCAGAAATAAATCAACGAAATCTCACCCTTTTAAATAATCTAACAATGATTACATTACACATTACACAGTACACATTCTATTTATTTATATTTGTCAACAAATTAAGTCAAATAAGATAAATAACATTATTATCTCAAAAACAAAAATGATGGGAAATGAAGTATATTTCTCTGTGTACAGTAACATTTTAGCAAAACCCTAATTCTGCTTTGAGAAGCAACTTCTACAGTTTGCTGGAATATGAAACCACATTAATGTTTGCGTTGACAGCTTAATGGGCCTAGATAGGGATTTAACATGCAGTATAGTTATACTGGTAGCGGTATACGCATTTCTTGATTTGAAATTCATGAG